GGGTCTAAGGCAGTTTCAGGTTCAGGGGTGCAGGGGCCTTGGGTTTAGGAGGTTAGGTTTAAGCTCCGAAAGTTGGTTCAAGCTATGGAAGAAAGGTTGTAAACTCCCAGCCCGCTCCCTGTGGGCATTGATAAAAAAAACAAATCTCCTCGCAGGAGCCTCTCCGCCTGGTTCTTCTTAGGGGAGCGAGCGGCCCCTTATAGTACCTGAGAGAACCCCTATAGAACCCTTACAGTACCCTTATAGTATCCTTATAGTACAGCTACACAAGAACAGAATAGGGACGAATGTGGGATGGCCTCGACAAAGCAAGACGTAAGCTTTGCCGTAGGACTTGTTGGATCTAGCACAGGATTGAAGGGAGCTCTTTAGTGTAGGAAGTGGAGGTTGTGCATGCCCTAAGTCCCTAGACCCTAAAGACAAGCCCGAAGCCCCTGTACGTAGGCGGTATCACAAAGTTCAAATCACCATCAGGATTCCGCGAAGGCGTGATATATTTCAAGTGTTCGCCTATCTATGTTATACTATTACAAAGCAGTCACATACTCTCAACAAGCAACAAGCCCACTAACATCGAATCTTAGGGCTTAGGGCTTCGGCACCTGTGGGTCCTCGGTCTGGTTAAGGACTGCGCTCATACAGGCTGAGGATAAGCAATCCGGCGGGGCAGGCTTTTCGTTTTCATTCAGGTCGAGCTCAGCACAGGCCTGCAGGAAGTGCGCCTTCCCTACATCTTCGGATACAGCGCCGGCTCCGGCTCCAGCACTTCGATTTTGAGCACCGTGCTACGATCCGGCCTCCTCCCTGTTGCCAGAGGATGTTTCCACATGAAGTCACGGGTCAAGTCTAGCTGAAAATCGAGCGGGCGCAACGTTGGACTTACGTCTCCCCGCTCCCAGATCTCGGTGCTGCTCAAGTCCTCTTGCAGCCATTCCGCTGTCCTGGCCCACACACGCATGTCCAAGGTCTCGTTCATGATCATGTCCGTTTTTGCTTCGCTGGTCTTAGCCCCGGACCGTGCATCTGGGCGGAGGCAGTAAGAGTCGGGGTCTCCGTGGTTCGTTGTACACCAGCCTAGCACTGAAACCTCCAGGGAACCCGTGCAGCAACTGTACCCATGCCATCCCTGCACCCGAAACATACAACGTGACCTTTGAGCCTCGAGGAGCGGGCTGACCTGTAAGCACTCAGCCCAACACGCATAAAGTATGAGAGTTCTGAACTCAAAGACCCTAAACCCCCAAACTTCCAAACTCTGTGCTGTAGATGTGGAATTCCGACAACCGCGACAACATGCAACGCCCTTGACGAACGTTCATAAAACCTTAAACACCCATGGAATGCCGCGCCTTCACTAAAGTCCTCACCAACACTGTTTCAGAAGTCCTGTAAAAGCTCTTAGAAATCTCTTACAACACCCTCCCTAAACCACTAAGGCCCTAAACCCCTAAACCCTACGGCCCTAAACCCTGAACCCTAAGCCTCAAAAGTAACTTTGGGGCTTCGGCAATGTCAGTGTTCATGGCCGATTCGACACACATGATGTCGAGAAGGTGGCGACCTCAGGAGTGTGTTTTGCCTATACCCAAAGGGTCCTAGGTACTGTTATGGGGAATACTTCCCCAAATCATCGTAGTAAGTCTTAATACAGAAACCCTACATTCTCCTATACTATAGTCTCCGTTGTGGTTCCCTTTAGGGTTTAGGGTTTAGGGTTTAGGGTTTAGGGTTTAGGGTTTAGGGTTTAGGGTTTAGGGTATGTTATTGTTCAGGATCTTTAATATAAAATTTGCTAAACTAAAAAGGGAATTACAATGGAGACTATAGGTATGATTTTGACCGAATGAAGTTTAAGAAGGGAACCCCAAAGCAAAAAAGGGGAATAAGGTACTATTTCTAGGGCTTTTTGAAAAAGAGGCCGTGGCTTTCGGGCATAGGCTTTAGGCTTAACTTCTGGCTCAAGGGTTCAGGGTTAGGAGGCTTTTTTGAGTCCAGGCTCAGCGCATAATCCTATAATATACAGATACCCTAAAGCCGGACCCATAATCTTCGCTATATATCTTCATCTTCTTCATCTTCCGTATTCTCATGTTCATAGCCGTCCTAACGCTCGCGACCAACTAAGACTCCGCCTGTTTCCTTGCACACATATCGTCCTCCTCCTGGTGGCAGGCTAGGGCTGAGCGCCGTCCTCGCAAACCCTGTGAGACTTTCATGCCACCTACAGATGGGAAATCTCGGCGGACTCAACGTAGCATCTTCATACCTACTGTGGCTCGGGACCCCAGCACCCGAAGACACTGATCAGGCTCCTTGGAAACTTTGGGATCTATCCTTGTGAAGAAACCAACTTAACAACTCTGTTCCGTGTTCCATCTACTTGTCTGTATCTCAAGCCTCTCAAATTGTACTCACATTGCAACAGCTAGCGAGCCTTGCAAAGACAGCCTCAGCCCAAAAGCCTAAACCCAAACCCTAAAACCCTGAATCCTAAACCCTAAATGAAAGCCCTAACCCCGAACCCTAAAACCCTAACAACCTGAACCCCAACCCCTAAACTCAAAGCCCTAAACCCCGAACCCTAAATCCCTAAAGTGGCGCCTGCGGAATCTGGCCAAAGGTCGGGTGCTCGCCGGGAAAAAGATGCCAAGCCCAACCCGCCAGAGAGCTATCAAGGGCCGCTTCTTCGAGCCAAAGGAAGCGTTTTGTGACGGTTTAGTGTTTAGGGTTTAGATTTAGGGTTAGGGTTGAGGGTTTAGGGTTCAGGTTTAGGGTTCTGAAAACACCGATCACTAGGTCTCCTGATCCTATGAATAAGGCTCTTCAGGGGTCAATGAGTTCCATAAGGGTGCCCAAGAAGTGCATTGTGCTTTTCGAATTGGGTTTAGGGTTCAGTGATTGGGCTTAGGACGGAGGGTTTCGGGTTGCGGTTTTCAAGCCCGCGAAAGAGAAGCTGCTCTACTTCAAAGGCTTCAAAGGAGCAGGGCACTTGGTAGGTGGGGTTAGCAGCATGGACACTGCCCTCATGATTGTACCAAGCCACTGCAAAACCCAAATTCGGGTTCTTACAACACTAATTACTAGGCTTTTTGATCTTTCGAGTAAGGCTCTATATCAAGTGCCCACCGGTATGTCCAAAGGACTCCAAAGTACTGCAACTTGAGATCATGCACACGACGTTTCTCCGACCTTCTACTTCCCTTAGAAGAAAAGCAATGCATGGACGTTTACGGACATCCTTTTAGAAGATAACACCAACCGGAGGGTAGTTGTCAAAATAAGGGTCCCTTTTTGGGTACCCTGAACAATAGGTGCCGTATTATATTAGGGACCCGGAAAGGAACCATAATTTTGACAACCACCCAGGAACGCACTAAAACCAACACACAAGAGCCTGGACGTCCTCCCCTGCCCTGCCATACTCAACTTCTTTTGAACTGCGACACAGAGCAGTCCACGTGTTCGGGCGCGCCAACTGCATTCCGACTTCCATGAGAAACCTGTGGAGTTTGGTGAGATTCAAGGGGGTTCAGGTGTCTATGAGAAACAAATGCATAGAGGGCATGTGCACGAGCAGATATAAGGTCGATAAGCAACTAACCGGGTAGGAAGCTAGATAGATGGATAGATAGACAGGTAGATAGAAAGATAGACAGACAGGATTTGACCATTGGGTCTAGAAGCGAACATAATTCCCTATATGATTCCTTAGGGTTCTTTACTATAAACGTGTTATAAAGGATCCCAAAACCTTGTAGAAATTATTAAGGCCCCTACATTAAGGCAGCATCTCCTCAAGCCTAATGCGGACACCACATTCGGTAGCGATCTGGAGAGCCACACACTGTTCTTCATGCTCGCATGTATACCGACTCTCGACACACGATCCTGACTGCTGCTTGAGCAGGTTTAGAGTTTCGCAGAACCAGGTTCATAGTATGATGCTTTCAAGCTGGCTTGATCGGGCTTGGCTGTGGTGGGGCTTAGTACTCAGTGCTCCCGAGAAGCGGACACGCCCGCCTCTGCTGCGTGCATGCTAGGGGGCTGAGTATGCTAACCCAACAATTGCATGCATAACTCTCGGAATGATAGTCAAGCATAGATGCGGTTCTCGGACCGATGGCGGCTGCTCCTTTTCTTAGCGCAGCCAGCTGCAAACCGAAGTGGGAAGCATGGAATACACTCTGCTCTGGGTTCTTGCTAAGGTAGATATTTTAAGTTTACCATGGTACGGAAACCATGTTATTTACTGTAGAACCCCAAAATGGTCTCTCAAATACGTTCCTTAACAAGAATCTTGAAATGCCAGTGTGTGCTCATGGCACTGCTCAGGCAGGCAACATCTGAAGCAGGGTTGGGGTTCCCACTACTTAAAGGATCATGGTAATGGGGCTTAGTAACTAGGGTTATAATTAAGGTAACTATGCTGCTTATGCTTATACCCCCCAATTAAGGTACTTATCAGGGCTGTCATCTGTGGCACAGTCTCCCTGTCAAACATCCAGCACACATTCACCAATATTCATAAGGAGCCCAATATAATATCGGGGCCTCAGTACAATTATCGTATAATGGGCCCCAAAACCCTATCCTAATCATTAAGGCCCCTATATTTTACACTCACCAAAACGGCAATATGAACCCTGCTTCATCTGTCCACGCCACAGTAGCATCCAGCTGGCCAAGCGTGGGTCGAGGTTTGATGTTTCAATGGAAACAGCTCCTGCGACCTTCAACACATGAGCAGGGTGTGCTGCACTGACGTCGGCATGCTTCCCAGTTGATAAGATGCGCTGGTTTGTGAATCCAAGATTTAAGATGCAGACTGTTCTCATGTCAACTTTGCTGACAGTCGCAGAGAAAGCGAACATTCGAAGCAGCAAACTGCTTTAATACTCTGCACATAGCTGCACAGCAGACTCGTGCGGTCTGCTAGTCCCCTATACCTGTGCCCTAAACCCCTGGCCCCTAACCTCTAAGACGGAGCAAGACTACAAGACTTAGATTTCAAAGAAGCTGCTAGCCACGGCATCTGCCGTGATTCGCTCAGCCTCGGTCGTCTGCCCTTCAAGTGCCTCCAAGAGAAACCGCGGTAGCGAATGTCCCCGCGAGAAGTCTGCGGCTGTCCTATGGAAATCAGTCTACGCAAGTAGCAGAAAACCTTATGTACGGGCATCACCAGGCAAGCAAAAGGACACTCTCAGGCCAAGAAGCAACAGAATGTCTCACACTGCAGCAAGAAAGCAATGCCAACACAAGCGGAAAAATGCACAGTATTGACATCAGCCTCAGCACCGAAGACAGAATCAGCAATCACAGCATCAACATCATGCTCGATAACATCTTCATCGTCATCAGTTCTTGGCACTGCTGCTGCTGCTGCTGCTGCTGCTGCTGCTGCTGCTGCTGCTGCTGCTGCTGCTAACATTACCACTACCACGACCGCGACCGCTGCCACCACAACCACAACCGGAAACAGACCGGCAACCGAAAGCGAACACAACCAGAACCACCACCACAATCACCGCCGCCACACCCCCGCACCAGCACTAGGACTACTACGACGACCATGACAATGCCGACCACTACTGAATATAACCTCTACTATACAGCTACAACAAATTCACACTAAGTAAGTACAACTATCATGAAGGGTGCATGCTGCTGCAAAATCCAGAAATTACGACAGCCAAGAGCGCGTCAACACTAAGTGTTGTCAGCCGAGTGTCCATTTGCGGTAGTTGCGAAGGTCCAACCGAGCTCCGGCTGCAAGGAGCGCTGCTGCACCCTCGTATTGCCCTGTCATCACTGCCGCCATAAGGGGTGTCTGTTCGTGTCCATGATATCCTGCTGTTGTCCCGATGGTCTTCTTTCCTGATCGATACAAAGCAGCATTGTATGCACAGTACAGGCCATTGATGCCGAAGTACCGGATCTTGTACTTATAATTTACGTCCGCTCGCTCCTCAACGAGCCGATGTACCAACTCGGGTTTGCCACCACCACAAACCATGGCAAGATACAAACATCGAGAAATATCAATGCTGCCGGATGCTTGCGTCAGCAGCTCCTCAAAAGCCTCGGTGCTGCCCCGGCCGCAGCCCGCCTCTACAGGTGTGAAGCCAAGCATATCCTCAGGGCTTTGGGTCAGCAAAAAGAGTTATGTTTGCCCTACTTAAAGAACCGCTTGAAACTGTGATTTCTAACTTGGCTACCGCCCCTTTCTTCCGGTCCTTCAGGTGGGGGCTGCAACCAGCCTCGCATAAAATGCGAATCCCATCTGCGTTGTTGGCGATCGCAGCCTGATGTATCCTGGGTTCTTGTCAAGGGATGTAATGTAAGCTACCATAGTAGGGGTCTATAGCAGATCATACGGTTTCCCTAAACCCTAAACCCCTAAACCCCTAAACTCCTAAAACCCCTAAACCCCTAAACAAGAGCCCAGTATCGCTGGCTGTATGCCGCCTTCCAACTTCGCCTTCGAGTCTAAGGGCCGGGGTGCTGCAAGCCCCTCGTACTAAACTAGGGTATGGGGTTTGACGGTTTAGGGTTTAGGGTTTAGGGGTTTGAGGGTTTAGGGTCTAGGGTTTAGGGGTTTAGGGTTTAGGGGTTTAGGGGTTTAGGGTTTAGGGTTTCGGGGTTTGGGGGTTTGGGGGTTTAGGCGCTGACTCTACTAGCAGTCGGGCTCCAAGCAAAAAAAGCAAATCGAGCCACCACGACACAGCGCTGAAAGAACAACTCCAAACCCTCAGAGTCTGAAGAGAAGGCTTGGGGTTTGGGCTTCAGGGCCCTAAACATTGAACTCAATTTCCTATACCCCAGATCTTGAATCCTACACCCTAAACCCTGAACACCCTACTGGCCCAGGAAACTGCCGAAGCCCTACAAAAAAAGAGGGCCCTCTCATTGGAAAATTCTTTTGGTGAAAATTATACTATACTTATAGTACGGAACCCCGACAATAGTTTTGGTAATTATTTCGGCCCTTATACTAAACCCCCATAATCGCGCGGATAGCAACCCTCATAGGACAATTTTTTAAGAACCCTTTTGCTAGCATATTGTTCAGCAGCTAAAGCCTTGGCGTCGACCAGGAGCCTGGCCGCCTGATTGTGCCTGAACATCACGCAGATCGCCAGCGCTGAAGTCCACATCGGCACCTGAATTTATAGAATTAGAATAAGCTCCCTTTACGATAGGGGTCTACAAGGGCTGCTACAAGGGTTATCTGGGTGGGGATTGAGGATTGTAGGACCCGAGGTCTAAGGATTGCGGAGTTCTTGAAGGTGGGTCTTAGGGATTCTCGGATTTAGTGATCAGGTTTAGGGGTTGTTGGGAAGGAAGTAGTGCACAGACCATACAAAGGGGAAATTCTGCAGGGCGCCCCTGCTTCCACTTGGTCCTTCTTTGTCGCAAGATTGAGGTCCTTAGATATAGAGACAGCTGCAGCGACACTCATTGATAGACGCGGCTCAGGATGAAGGATGTCGTCTGGTAGTAGCAACACAGTAGCGCTCCAGATTGAACATGGGCACATTAGGTACGGCGGAGAAACCGTAAGTCTAGCAGTAGTAGTCACAGGAGTGCTGTCTGTGATGAACTGTCCAACAACTCTTGCAAATAACAAACAGCCCCAAACCGGCCTTAACCCCTAAACCCCCAGCCCGACACTTAAACCATGTATACAACAAGGAACCCCCAAGCTCTAAGCGAAGCCCAAACCCCAACCCTAAACCCTGAACCCCTTAACCCTTCATCCCTAAACCCTAAAACCTATAAACCTTCAAACCCTGAACCCTAAAACCCTAAACCCTTTTTCCCCTAAAACCCTACACCCTAAACCCCAACCCGAAAGACAGAAATCTGGCCCAGCATCAGCTCCGAAAGCTAGAAGTCCTCGAAGCAACTCCACCTTTCCAGACCTGGGCTGCGAGAGTTTGGGGGTTTCGAGTTTGGGGTTTAAGCTATAGGGTTTAAGCTTTAAGGTTAGGCTAGGCTTTAGGCTGTGGGCTTAAGTTTTAGGGTTAGTTTAGGCTTTAGGGTTGAAGTTTTAAGTTTGAGGTTCGGCTTGAGGGTTTAAGTTTAGGGATTGGGGGGAAAGTTTAGCGTCAAGGGGCCATGCCGTTCCCTGAGTTGTTAAACACTTCACATAACACAGGTTCTACGGTTCAAAGACCTAGACACAAGGCGGCATAGTGCAAGGGATACCAGCCCCTGCTGTCCTTCTCATCAACAGCAGCGAAGCCATTCTGGAACAGGAACTTTTCCACCGACAGGGCTGTGGGATCAAGATCCGGGCGGGATGCTTCGAACCCAGGGACCAAATCCTGGGTTCTTGTCAAGGGTTTAATTGAAGTTAACAAAATAAAGATATAGTTAAGGAGTTTAGTAACTTAAGATACCATCATAAGGATCTATAGTGAATACTAAGGTTTCCCTATTCTTGTAGCTTAAGATGCATTCCTTAACAAGAACCGAGAATCTCCCACGGGCTCCACCAGGAACCCCCTGAGGTGAACGGGCTGCAGATTCAGAAGCACCCGATATCCGATGAGGTCCTTGAAAAAGGGGAAAAGGAGGGACCCTTAATGGGGACCCCTACCCTATAATGGGCTATATAATAGCCAGATTACCATAAGGGGCTATATTGAGGGTTTAGGGTTTAGGATATAATGGGCTATGTAATGGGCTATATATTAGCTAGATTAAGGGTATACACCTATAGGGGTCCTTATTAAGGGTCCCTCCTTTTACCCGATGAAGGTCCTGCTGCTTCAAGTGCTGAAGAAGCCGGCGCTGCAGTGCCTTTTTGAGACCCAAAGCCCTAAACCCCAAGCCATAAACCCCTAAACCCCTAAGCCCTAAGCCCTAAACCCCTAAGCCCTAAACCCCTGAACGCTAAACCCTAAACCTTGAACCCTCAACCCTGAATTGTTTAACCCCTAAACCCTCAAGCCTAAAGGGAGTTTGGCGTTCGACATGCAAGTAAAGCTTGCATCTCGGAAACCGAGCTCTGCATGTTGACCCCCCAAATTTTCATGTTGACCCAAAAGGATCCCTGGGCTCTTTAGCTCCTTATTAATTAAGTAGGGGTTATCATCACACCTGGCTCCTTAGATCCTCCAATATCAATGGTTAGCTATTGTAGGGGCCTGAATAACCCAGAGACTCCAATACCCCTTAATTAAGGAATATTCCTTAAATCATATTACGGATCCTACTATAATTTAAGGTATATTCCTTAAGGGGTATTGGAGTCTCTGGGAATAGGGTTCCTTTAGAGGGTGCTTATAAAGGGTCTATCATGGTTCCTATAAGGGAATGGTTTGAGTATACCCAAAACCTGGCCTTGAGGAGTACCGGACCAAGCTTCAGGCGGTCCTCCGGCACGGTGAAGGCCTTACTACCCCAAGAAGCCAGGGACATAGGGGTTTAGGGGTTTAGGGGTTAGGGGTTTAGGGGCTTAGTGTTTAGGGGTTTAGGGTTTAGTGTTTAGGGGTTTAAGGGTTTTTGTGCAGTTTAGGGTTTAGGGTTTAGGGGTTTAGGGTGTAAAGATTCCTGCAAAACTATAAGAACCCAAAAAGCTTCAAGGTTGGGTATGCGTGGTTGTCAAAATTATGGTACCTTGTTGGGTCCCTAATATAGTACGCGACCTAATATTTCGGGTACCCAAAAAGGGACCCGAACTTTGACAGCCACCCATATTGGGGATCTGAGAGGCCCCCTCGCCCGGCGCGCCGAAGTTGGCCGACGCCGCCGGCGTTGCGATGAGCTCCATCTTCCTGGGCTCTTGTTAAGGAATAAGGGTTCCTTTACGGGATCTATAAGGGCCCCTTGAAGGGTACAGGGATTGAATTCAAGTTACCATAATAAGGCAAACATACTATTTACTATAGATCCTTCTGCTTGTAACTTACACTAAATCCCTTAACAACATCTTCCTGTTACCGTATTGGGATAGATAAGGTCTCCTTTGCGGGATCTACAAGGCTCCATTTAAGGGTATAGGGATGTAACTACAGCTCCAGCTTCGTCGCACTCCGGATCACAATCCAGGATGCGTCCATGGACAACTCCCGACAGGCCTTTTCGACCCTGCACCAACCTGAGGGAACTTGAAAGCCCGTTTGCTCGACGGCTGTTTCTGTAGTTCAAACATTCCTAATTGCTCCTATCGCCTAACAGGGACATCGATTCTACCCTTCCTCGGTCCTCCGGCAAGTTAAACCTCCTCAACTTGAGGACGGGCTTGCCCTTCAACCCGATAACGGGGATGCCTGTAACTTAATATAGGGGCCCTGATCATTAGAATAAGGTTTTGGTGTATAACATACTAAGATTCGATTAAGGAGACCCCCCCAAAAAGACAGTATAGGCATATGATATTATTGAGGCCTGCATATTTCAGCCCACTTGCCTCGCTCTGCCCAGGTGTGTATCGTGAAGACCGACGACTGGCTGGCACTGCCCACGACCGGGCAAAGCACGAAAAAGAAGGACGTTCTTGCCTAGGTGTCGACTTCAACAGGGGCCCAAATTATGTATAAAGCTAGGGCTCTATACGAAAGAACAAACGAAACTAACAATATTCCAAATCGGTACCTAGTTGCGATGTAGGCCGGAATGCTGTCGATGGCTTTGGAAAGCAAGTCAGGCTGATGGTGACTTCCCAAACTCCACGACTGTTGCAGCGACTGCTTCAGCTGTGGGCACGAAAAGTAATCATACCAGATGAAGAGAGGCTTTTCTCGAAATTGTGCTGTCTCCAAGGGCTTAGCACTGGGTACAAGGCTTTCTGTAAAAATCTCCAAGGGAACGAAATCTACTTCTGACAGCAACGACTTGAAGGCATCTTGCAAGACTCTGAGCTGTCGGCATTCCTGAGTTGCTCTCGTTTCGGAAAGGTTCCGATACCTCTGGGTTTAGCGGCTTTGGGTTTAGGGTTTCTGAAGTCTCCGGGTTCAGGGCTGGTTTAACAATTTAAGGCTTAGAGGCTTAGAGGTATGTCTATCTGCAATGCCAGAACAATCAAACCTGCGCGAAACTGTGACCCCAAACTCTGAGCTTCTTAAGCCGTACCCTGGCAAGGCTAGCGCACCTGACACTCCAAATCTGAAAACATAGCTACTAAACGAAACTCTAAATCTGAAAAAAACTGAAGTCACAACCTTAAGCCAGATTTTGGAAAAAAACCTAAAACTCTAAGCTTCAAAAACCCAAACCCTAAACCCTAAAACTCTAAGCTTTTTAAAATTCAAGGGGCTGGGTCCGGATGATCGACGCCGACCCACTGGTGTGAAACGAAGGCCGCCTTACCGAGATCCTGGTGAAACTCCACCTTGCTTTAAGCTTAGAGTTTCGCGCTTTAGGGTTTAGGGTTTAGGGTTTAGTACTGTGGAATCAAGGGTTAGGGTTTAGGAATTAGTATGTGGGAATTAGGCTTGGGTTCGGTGATTTGCGTTGAGGGTTGAGGGCTTCGGGTTCCGGGTTTAGTGGTCCCTGAGAGAGAGAGAGAGAGAGAGAGAGAGAGAGGTTTGAGGGTTGGGGAGTTTAGGGTTCGGAGATTGTAGGGCTTGGGGTTCAGGGTTTAGGGTGTTAGGGATTTTAGGGTTATCGAACCAAGTCAGGTCCAGAAACCCTAAACCACAAAACGTAGAAAGTATCCCGACCATTGAACGAGCCACCAGGGCCCCTTGGCTCATGAGTACCTCGTGCGGCTCAATTTCCTGGGTTGCTTTCTGAGGAGCCAAGAAATTACGGATTACACTGCTGATCATTACCATAATGGTGTTTATCATACTTTTTTGCACACTTAGAATCACTAGCTAGACTAGCAACCAGCAGACTAGATGAGCAGCCAGCCAGCCAAGCAAGCAACAACCAAGCACCAAGGACCAAATAACCAAGCAGCCAGCCAAGCAACCAAGCAAGCAAGCAAGTAAGCAAACAGCCAGGAAGCTAACTGCAATATCGGAGACATTGACTTACAGTCTTGCCTATTTGCTAATTTCCTTATTTACGTTGTTACTTACCCTGCCTTCCTTCCTTACTTCCTTCCTCGCTTGCAGCAAGAGTATCACTACTCAAAGTAATAGTGTCACGATAGTGTTAAATATCTGACTACAGGATGTCAAAAGAGAGCTACATATATACATACATATATATATATATATATACCAAGTTGCCACCGAGTTGCAGTCATGTCTAAAAGTGCCGGTACCGGAACCGTATACATTGGAAAGAGCGGCGCCGGCAAGTCCGCATCAAGTGAATGCTGACCTGACAAGGATTCCGCGTAGCGCTGCAGGTGTGAGATAGCTTTGCCAGCTCCGCACACAGCCATGGCGGCAAAACTGAGGGTGGCCTGCCGTCTGTTTTTGGACACATAGTTCAATCCGCGAGTGAGGTGCCAACTAGTAATTGCAGGTATCAAATGAATCACATGCTGGTAATTACGAGCGCATCATTCGACAACCTGAAGCGCTTCGAGTCTTCTGACAATCCGCAGATGCCTGCTCCGTAGGCCCACCCTTGAAATTGAAAAGAGCCTGTGGCCAAACGGTGTGGCGAAGTCGGATCAGCGCTCAAACGTGGGATAAGTGAGGAGCGCTTATTGCAAAAGATACACTGCTTGCCACACACTCCCAACATTCTACCCGGGCACTACTATAGCTGCCTAAATACTCTTTTCTGGGGGGTCCTTATTATTGTTATAGTATCCTGGGCCCGAAACCCTATTCGAAATATTAAGGCCCCTATATCAAACCCCATTATACCCCTTATAATACAGTAATGCTTATAGACCCCTTTAAAGGAACCCTTAAAAGGCAACCCAACTCAGGCCCCTAAATAAAGCCTCAAAAGCTGCAAAAAAAAACCCAAACCCCCGAACTCCGGAGCCTGAAGCTGTGAGTCCCTAATGCAGGAACCTGATTAAGAAACCCCTTTACTTAGAGTTCGTTTAAAGGGATCTAAAAGGGTTACAAAAAAGAGATCTATAGGGTTAATGTAGGAACATGATTAAGAAACCTTGGGCCTTTATTCGGGTTCCTTATACTACTGTTTTGGGGTTATAGGCCCAGGGTTTCTTAATCAGGTTCCTACTTTAAACCATACGACCTCCAAAACCCTCAAGCCCCAAAACATCGGAGAGCCTAAACATTAATGGAGCTCTAAACCCTCAACCCCAGAACCCCTAAACCCTCATGAACTTCGCTAACCCCCAAAGTCAACAACTTTACGAACTCCGGCACGGCCTGGCGACAGCTGCCAAAATGCGTTTCTCCGCACAAGAGGCCGGCGAATACAGGCAAAGTCTGACTTCTTGTATACCGGTGTAGGCCGTAGAGTTGGGTTTACTAGGGTTCTAGTTTTATGGTTAGGGTTTAGGGTTTAGTGTTTAGGGCTTAGAATTCTATAAGGGATCTATAGGGCGTCAGAGAGGGAAGTTCAAGGGGCACGGAGTCGGGGATGAAGGGGGCGCGTACTTTGGTCCTACGGGCCCGGGCTGCGGGGGCATAGAGATTTGGGTCTATTTTTCCATATAGTAGGTAATTAGGCCTTAAAGTACCTATATAGGGACCCCTTTAAGGCCTAAGTACCTACTATGTGGCTAAGGGTTTCCACCCTCGTTCCCAGACCCTAAACTAACCCTTACCGCACCATGGGTAGGACTGTTGGCTGCCCAAGCGCTACTGCTGAGGGCATCGTGGCCACGGGAAAGATGGGAATACTGACAAAAACGATCAGTGTGAATACCACGGGACCGCTAGCTCGGTGATGTTGAACTAGAGCTAGACCGATAGCAGGCAGGTGCAGCGCTGCAGCACTAGGCCCCAGTCTATTGGAAGAAGAGGATCCTTGCAGTGGCTTTCGTCATGGTGGGTACCTTGTTAGGGTTACCTTTCAGGATCCTCAATATAAAATTGTTTAAACCAAAAAAGGAACTACAATGGAGACTATAGGTAGCTTCTTGGCCAGTAGTCTGTGCCTTGTGGAGTTTGGTAGAAGACCACACACACACAGGGATAGTTGTAGCACTGGACGCCGCCACGGGGGACTGCACTGTACTATACTACGGGTATGCCAGCCAGAGACAGAAGCGATGATTGCCACAGCAAGCTCAGGAGCAGCAACAGTACTCCAGTTTCATAGACGAAGGCTTACTGAAACCTAGCCGCAACAATGCCCCAAACCTAAATCCTCTATACCTGGACCCTAAATAAACCCTAAACCCTAAACCCCTAAACCCTAAACCGCACACAGTGCCTCAAGCCCTTGACCTCAAGCCCTGAAGCCGTAAGACCCCAAATCCCCCCCAGGCAGAACACAGCTCCGAGCACTTTCTCAGCACCTCTAGGAACGGCCATGCACCTAGTTCAGTGTTGGGATAGGATTAAACATGTACATTTTTATTCTTTTTGGGCTTCTGGGTTTAAGTACCCATAAAAATGTAAAATCTTACCCAACAAGTACCCATAAATTTTTTAAAATGTTACCCAACTATGACAAAGGCGCTGCGCTCCAGGTCTCTGAGGATGGAATGCAGCCGCGCGGTCTCAGAGCCGACCTTCGGCTCGGCTCCAGGAGACTTCGTGGGCTTAGTTGGGGTTTACCTACTAGGGTTTAGGGTTTAGGGTTTTAGGGTTTTAGGGTTTAGGGTTTAGGGTTTAGGGTTTAGGGTTTTAGGGTTTAGGGTTTAGGGTTTAGGGTTTAGGGTTTTAGGGCTTAGGGTTTAGGGTTTACCTACTAGGATACCCATAAGGGATCTATAGGGCTCCTTAAAGGGGTCTATAAGGGATCTATAGTAGGGTTCTATAATATTGGGGGGTTAGTATACTAGGATACCCAGTAACCTAAGAATAAAAAGGCCTCTCTTTTTGGTATTGGGGTAACTTTATAAGGAACCTAGGACTACAAAAAGGGAATAAGGGTACTACTGGGCATCCTAGCCTATAGTCTCCATTGTAGTTTCTTTTTGGGGTTACCTTATGGGATCCTAATTATATATATATATATATATATATGGTTAAAGCAGAAAAAGGAAGTACAATGGAGGCTATATGCAGGGTTTGAATTATATAGTTTGGAACTCAAATTCCGTCTGAGAGATCTGCTTTGGGGGATTGGGTACTCAGGACAAGAATTCCGCCGGGAATAAGCCAAGCACCATCGAGAAAGGAAGAGGCCTCGGTCTGATGGAAGAGGGCATTTGGGAGTTTCCCATAATGGGGGACCCTAATACCGTACCCCAAATAGTAGGATCCTTGCTATAAGGCCCCTAAAATAAGGTACCCCTAATTTTCGGAAACTCCCATTTCTAACACATCTGGCTCCCTAGGCCCTGAAGCGCCAAGACCAGTGAATCCTGAACTTCAGGGTCGCAAGGCTTTAGGGATAAGAATGTTTTTTTGAGCTCCTTTTTGATGCCTGGATTGGATAAGAATGGTTTGGGGTTCAGGGCTTAGGGCTTAGCATGGTTTAGCCTTTCGGATCTAGGCAACAGGCATGCTGAATATAGTGATACAAAAAGCTTAAAGTTTGCCCACTCGACTGCTAAAGCCGAACTACAGGATTTACGTTCATTTTTGGTCCTACAGGGTGTTACAGGGCTTGACTAAGTGGCTTTATGAAGCCCGACAGCCCGGCAAACCCAAGCCCCCGAAGCGCTTCCGGTTGGTTGTTGGGGATTTCGGGTTCCCAGAGACTCCAATACCCCCTTAATTAAGGAATATGCCTTAAATCATATTAAGGATCCTACTATAATTGAGGGTATATTCCTTAATTAAGGGGTATTGGAGTCTCTGGGTTCAGGTGTTTCACCCTATCCCCGACACCCGCCAAGCCCAGGAAACAAGCACGTGTTTGCAGTCTTTTCGCGTGGATCACGGATGGTCGGAAAGCTGGAGAGCTCAGGGACTCGACATGTACGAGTCATGCACCCGAAACCCGATAGCCCACTGCCGGAGCCTTGAACTTGCACTCCAATCAGCGCAAAGCCTATGTGGGAGTTTCCGAAAATGGGGGACCCTAATCTAGTAATTACCCTAAACAGTAGGATCTAGTAGGATCCTTGTAATAAGGACCCCAAAATAAGGTACCCCAAATCTTCGGAAACTCCCATGTACAGTTGAGGCTGTAAGGCGCTAAGTCGAAGCTCCACGCTAGGATGACACCAATGCCAGAAACCCAAACATCATCGCCCTCAGTCTCAGATCTAAACCCTAAGCACCGAAATCCTAACCCTACCCCCTTAAGATCCACAAACTATCGTAAATCCTATGTTCTACACCCACAAGCCCGCTCACAAGCATTGATGGATGCAGTGAAGCCTTCGTCGTCCAGTCACAATAACCGGGAAAGTTCAATCTGCCAGAGTTGATATTTTTTCAGAGTTTATAGCTACTGCTGCTACTACTACTACTACTACTGCTACTACTATTGTTATCATTATTATTACTACTACTACTACTACAGTAGCTACAGTTGCTAGTACTGCAAATAAACATCTGCAGTAGGACTTGCAAACGCCAACTGAGGTTTACGTACACGGCACAAGAAACAGTAAAGCTTGCGAACTGAAGAGCTAAGAAGCTGATTTCGTTGGCTTTCTGCTGAGATACGAGTCTTCCAAGCAATTGAGCTGCCGTCTTCCAAAGCCCACCTGCAAGCATTCAGGGGTCACTTGAAGGGTTTACCATTGCGGCCTGTGGGGCTTTGGGTCTTGCGAGCTTAGCAGTGACGGTGCTCCGAGCTTTGGTGGCAGGATTTGTGTCGCTTGCTACCTTTAGGCAATCCAAAACTATGATGGAACTGCCAGACAACCAGAATCCAAACTACCCAAACCAGCTCACCTTCGTCATCGAAGGAGACCAGGAACCCCAAAATCCCTGAACTGTTTTTCTTTACCGCAAACCCCCAAACCCAAAACAAACGCGGACAATGCCAGAGCCACCCAACTGCCCCGGAAATAACACTGTTCTCTTCCAGTATGAACCTCGAAGCGTGTCTCCTAACTTCATATGTTCCCAAGACTCAAAGTGCTCGGTAGGGCTTAAGCATTGGCCTTGGATAAATTTAGGACCAGTGTCGGAGTTGAGGGGTTGTTAGAAACAGCCTCAGGTCATGGCCTCTGTGGCACTTAGGATTTGGTAAAGCTTACCTTTGGTTAGTAGGGAGTGGAGGAATGGGGTACACATAGAACTAATATTACTACCATTCTTCCATTCCCTATTAACCAAAGGTAATGTAAAGGAGGCTTAGCAAGGCTTAGCATTTGGACTCTTCAAAGGTCTTCGAGCCTTTCTCACAGGCACTGATGGCCGCGTTGTAGCTGACAGGGTTGGGCTGAGATGTGGCCTGGAGCATCCACCCCAGGATCTGCAACGACTGCTTCCATTCACTGCCTGGGCTTGGCATTTGCAACCCAAAACCCCAAACCTGAGCCCATATCCCGAACCCCAAGCCCTACGGTTCAAAATGGCCAAAATAGCCTTACTGTACCCAAAAGCCTGTGGGCATGAGTCCTTGGAGCCTTGGGGTGAGGCCTGCCACTAAATTGGCACAAGCCACAAGTACATTAATATACAAATATGACTATCAGAACAAGTACATAATTATCAACATGAAAGAGAAATGAAAAGTGTATACTAAATACGATGACGAATCGCAAGACTAAGCACACCAAGCAAAAGTTACAAGTGATCTCGACTTTTTCAGACATACCTACAGCTACAGATCTACATACATACATACACACATACATACATACATACCGGACCTGAGAAGTGCCGGAAATGTGGGACCCCATTATAGTACCCTAACTAGTAGGATCCTGATTATAAGGACCCCCAAATAAGGTACCCCCATTTCTGGGAAACTCCCACATGCGCACATACGTACAATACTTCGAGCCCCGTCTCCACCGTGGGGACCTCCAAAGGGACCAAGCCGCTCTTCTCGCAAGCGCTGATGCTTGCGTTGAAACTGATCCTGGGCTCCAGAGATGGCTTAGGGTATAGGGTGTAGGGTATATTCTAGATCCTAAAGCCCGGATCTTCAGCCCAAAGATAAGGCCTAGATCCTAAACCCTAGAACCCGAATCTTGGATCCTAAAGCACTAAAGGCTACGAGATGCTTGGTCCTTAACCCTGAAAATTGAATCCAAATATGCAAATACATAACAATGGACATATGTATATGTATATATATATATACACATATATATATATATATATGCACATACATATATACATAGAGTCATAGAGAGATAGAGAGAGGGAAATTACCAAACAGATACATGTACGTATCTGCGTATGTATAGATACACACATAGATCTATGTATAAAGGTCTAGGCCTAGGTATATGTATATGCAAATGCAGATGTACCTGTACATACATACATATGTATATATATGTGTGTGTACACATATCTGCACGTACTTACATATGTATGTAAGTATATGTACACACATACACACACACACACAAGACACACTCAGAACTCTCTGCGTATGGGCATGTACATGTATGTGTGTGCACATTACATATGTATATATATATAATTATAATTATATATATATATATATATATATATATATATTCTTACATATAGTATATATATATATATATATATGTTATTCATATCTTTCTTGTACACATACATACACACACATACTTCGCTCACCCTGTCCACAGTCTGCACACTACTTACACAACGTACACACGTTCGGGCTTCAAGGACTTGTGGCTTGGGGGGGGGGGCGTGCAAGGCCTTTTGTTCAGAGTCAGGGGTCCAAAAGCTTTGGGTTGGTCCGGGCCCCGCTTCAAATCCCGAAACATGCTTTGAGCCCTACGAAAAGGGGTAAGTTAGAGGCCTCAGCAAGTAGAACAAGCTTGGGGGGGGGTGGTCTTTTTCGATAAACTGAAACATACAGCAGCTATACAGGGGCTATATGATGGCACTACTAGTAGCAACCATAAAGTCCAAAGCTCTCATCGCGAAGAACATGCTCCTTGGGCATGCGAGCCAGTAGATGGGACGATCGCTGCCACTCGTCACCTTGTTGGAGAGTGCTGTATGGGACCTGTCCCTCAATTCAGGGATTTCCTGGCTTATGATGACCACGATTATGATCATGATGCTGGTGCCGATGGTAATGGTGGGTTCGCCGAGGGTGATGATGAGTTTGTTGTTGGCATGGTGGTACTGATGAAAATGATGGTTAAACTTGAGAGTGGTGCTCGTGGTTTCCTACGGCTTCGCTGGCAACAGCTCCGGGGTACAACTAGAAGTTGAAATTGTTGTATATATTCATAAATTTAAGAAGGCTCAGACAGGCTCAGACCCAGAATAATGATAATGAAACTCGTCATGCTAACCAAGCTGCTAATCAAAATAGTACGAGTATGAAATATCATGAGAAATGAACTCTTGATGACAAGGCGGCCTCTCTTCTCGCACGCGCTGATGGCAGCACTGAACGCGATTGCATTCGAAACAACTCCACGCAAGCCTAGGTTCTCCAGTAGCCCCTTAAGCGTGAGGGTACCATTTCTCCACTATCGGGTTCAGGGTTCGGTGGCCCTTTTCCTAAGCAGACCCCAAAACAACACAGTGCAAAAGGCTACTACTGAGAGACCAGGGAGCCGATGCCGGCGAGCAATGACATGGCCAATTGCCACTGGGCCAACTTCTCACCTATACTGAACTTAGAACCCTATCAAAAATTATAATTCTAGCTGTTTCTTAGGGTTTATAATAACCAAAAATTAAAAACTATTTCTAAGTACCCCTAAGTCACAGGCAGTCATGCAAACACTGAAGCTTAGGACGGTGGCCTCAAGAAATGCTGCATGCATCTGGATCATCAGCTGATGGGCAAGCTGCCAGCTTTCGCAAGCCTCACAGGCGCCGATGGCGGCACTGTAGCTCATATTAGGTGGCTTCGTCGTCGTTTGTGCAGTACCCAATAGATGCATCGCCACAGGCCAATAGCGGTGCCCATCGAGGCCTTTTGCAACCGAACACAAGCCAAGCTCATCTGCATCTCCTTGGGTCTGGAGTTGTAGGAGTGCTTCCCACCGCACTCTCTGCCTGCACACCCTGGCCACTGCACTCGTTCGAATCCCGATGGCCTGTGCTGAAGCACGTTGCATTGCACTCAACAGCTCGACTGCCACAGTCCACATGCCAGCGGGCTCGATAGCCCTGACGGCTGCATCCAAGCTCATGCGGCCAGGCTTCATATCAGAGTTTACCATGTCGACAAACAGCTGGACGGCTTTCTGCCACTGTGCGCTTACTCCGCATGCACATATTGCCGCGCCCATGTTGATCTCATTGGCGTGCACTCTTGTCCGCAGCATATCATCCAAAAGCTCGATCACCTTCCTCCACTGACTGGCCTTCTCACAGGCACTCATGGCTGCATTCCTCGCGATCTTGTCTTCTTCAACCCGGCAATCTCGCATGCACATCCTGATCTCCAAGGCCCTCTCCCACTGAGCACAGATGGCGCATGCATGCATGCCTGCGCTGAAGCTGATTTCATCGGGAGTGGCGACTCTCAGCCGCATCTCTGTCAGCATGTGCAGTGCATGCTGCCATTGCCCACATTGCCCGTACGTAGCAACAGTTCGGCTCAGGGCAATCTCGTTGAGGAGCACACTCGCACTCTTCATTGCCAGCAGAAGCGACATCACAACTGGCCATCGCCGGTCCTTTTCACAGGAACCAATGGCAGCACTAAAACTGATGACATCGGCCTGAAGAGCAGATGCCTCCATCCAGGTCAAAAGCTGAACAGCAACCTCCCACTCTCCGGCATTCTCACACGAAGCGATGGCCGTATTCACGCTGATCGTGTTCGGTGTCGCCAAAGCTGCGGCCATGCTGGCGAGCAAGTGCAGTGCCCTCTGCCACTCTCCGTCTTTGACACAGGCACTCATCGCCGAGGAAAAGCTGATCTCGTTGGGAGTTACTGCAATATCCATAAGGCTCCAAAGCAGAAACAATGCCCACGGCCAGTGGCCGCTTGTCGCGCAGGCACTGATCGCAGCACTGAAACAAACAACATCTGCTCTTACACCTGCCACAGGCATACTGGCCAACAAATGAAGGGCGGTTTGCCACTGTCCACCTGGGAGTTTCCGAAAGTAAGGGACCCCGAATCTATACCATGAAGCATAGGTCCTCCTACTACGACTACTACTACTACTACTACTACTACTACTACTACTGCTACTTCTTCTTCTGCTGCTAGCACTAGTGCTGCAACAGCAGCAGCTGCAGCAACTTTTTCGTTTATGATGCTCCGGAAGCAACAAGCCCACCTCTGTCACAGGCACTGATGCTTGCGCTGAAGCAGATGGGGTCAAGCCTCACACTGCTCTTCGTAGTCTCTTCAAGTAGCGCAAAGGAATACTGCCACTGGTCACCTTTGGTGCACGCAGTCATCAAGGTGCTGAAACTTATCACATCAGGTTCCAGCTGATTTTCGAGCATTCGGGAGAAAATGAAGACAGTCATCTCCCACTCACCTGCTTTTTCAGAGGTGCTCAAGGCCGCGTTGTAAGTGACAGTGCTTGCCTTGAGCTGTGCGAAGCTCATATCGGCCAGTAGTTGAGCTGCCTTCTTCCACTGCGCACCTGCTGCACACGCAGCGATCGCAGCATTGTAGCTGATCTCGCTAGCTGACACCCCAGCATCCAGCATGGCAGTGAAAACCTGAAGTGCCAGCTGCCACTGCCTTGCTCTCTCACATGCACTGATAGTTGAATTGTATGTAATCACATCTGCACAGGTGCCCCCAAGAGCCTCCTGGGGAGAATCGAACAAAACGAGAAACTATCAAGCCCAACCATCGCACCTTGGCGCAAGTCAGTCCTCGTCCCAAGTCATAACACGGACAATGGGAGCAACAAGTAGAAACACCTACGAGGGCAGTGCACCCTGTAGCACCATTATAAACTAAGACTCTGACAGTCCTCGCTGCTGTAAACCTTCACGTTTGAAATGCCGAACCCTTACAGCCCCAGACCTTATGCACTGGAAGCATCAAGCCCTAATCCCTGTGATGCTCCTGGAAGAGGTGAAACGCATGCTGCCACCTTCGCGCTCTCCCACATGCGCTGATGGCTGTGTTGAAAGTCACCTGGCTCAGAGAGGTCTAAGATGCTTAGGGCTTAGGCTAGGGTCAGGATGGGTGGGAAATTTATGGCTGCAAGGCGGTAAGGCTTCCATTTTAAGGCTTCATTCAGTTGCAAGGTTTCAGGGGTGATAGCGTTGTTACGAGGCCCGTGGGATGCAATGTCTCCAGGCTCTATACTCTTCAAAATTTCAAGACCCGACCTTTCAAGGCCCTACCCTAGACCGAAAAAACCCTACTAAACCCTCAACAACAAGCCTGCAGGACTTCACAGTGCGACCTTATTTCCGGAATATTCGGGCAACTAACCCCAGCAGTAGCAGCAGCCATAGCATCTTTACAAGCACGACCACCCTAGCACTAGCAGTAACCTTCGTGTCGGACTCAAACCTCGCATCTAGGTAAGGTGCATGCACCTCTTTCCACCCTTAACCCTACAGCTTGTACGTATCAGCTGTTGCTTCGGCTTTTGTCATATCATCAATGTTGCCACCCAGTCTGGTTTCGAGGCACCACATCTGGTACGAGGCGACATCGCGGTAGATCTGCCAACAGCTGCAGCGCTGCTTGCCAGCCGCCTGGGTTGAGGGTTTAGGGTTTGGGGGTTGAGGGTTTAGGGCCGGAGCTGGGCAGCTGTTTAAGACGTTCGTGGTTCGCTGCAAGTTTCTTATGCAGGCCTTGCGTCCTCTGCTTTGCTCTCTGGGGTGCAGGGTCTAATGTGTAATATAGGGGTCTTAATAATCAGAAAAGGGTTTGCGGTGTATATCATACGATAATTAAAATAGTGAACCCCCAAAATAGTACAGGCAGTCACGAGTATCAATTGAGCCCCTATACTGAATCCTTATAATACCCTTATAGTAGCCCTTACAGACCCCTTTAAAGGACTCCAAAATCCTATTCTAATTTTAAACGGCTTAGGGTTCGATGGCCGTCGAGATTCTCAGGGTGGGAGGCTGACAAAAACTGCAGCCTGTTCTACATCGATACATGACCCCGCGAAGCACTACGAGATTCCTAAGTAAGACCCCCTGAACCCTAAACCCCAAAACACCCAAACCCTAAAGACCTGCGGCCAAGCGTCGGGAACGTGCAGAGTCGCTCAAAGCCTTGTTCAGGTCCACGAGACAGGGCTGCTCCATGGCTTCAATGCGAGGTCAGGGGCTATTCAGGGTTTAGGGCTGAGGGCTCGGGGTTTAGGGCTTAGGGCTGAGGGTTAGGATCTCGGAGTTAGGCCCTGAAATAGAGTCCTTCTGGCCCTTAAAAGGAGGTATTGGGGGTCTATTAGAGGGTAGTTGGGGGGTCTAGGATGGGCTCGAGGGTGTGGCCTGGGTGTTAGGGTCCGGGTTGATAAGGTTTGGGGCGGACCCCAAATGCAAGCTAAGACCAAATTCCACGCTAAGCCAGGAGACTGCGGAAACCCATCATGCAAGTTGCCTAAAAGTGATCCAAAGGTAAGGTAAGATCCAAGTTTCACATCTGATGTAAGTGTCGGAATCATAGTTTGGGGAGTGTTTTCCCTATAGATGAACCCTAAGGAAATAATCAAAACGACTCTTCAAGCCGTTAGAGTAGCCAGGTGCCGGTGGCATCCATCAAACATCCGTCAGGAAAGGTTGTGCACTACCAAAATCCCTGAAGTCAGACTTCAAGCCGGTGTCTCCAAAACCCCGAAACCCGATGCCCTGCCCAAACCCCACGAACTTCCGAACCCAGAACTCCAAACCCTCCCCAAAACCCTAAACTCCACAAACCCCTATATAAACCCTAAAACCCACCCTAAACCCTGTAGATCTCTTAAATGGAGCCCTTCTACATGCCTGCAAAGGAACCCTAAACCCTCAACCCTATGAGCCCTAAAGCAGGCCTCGCAAGCTTTCACGGCCAGGGCTGCCAGAGCCGGGTCGAACTCCATGGCCTCTGCGGCACGGAGAGCCTTCCAGGGGCTGGATTCTTCTATACTGAACTTAGAACCAAAGCAGAAATCATAATTCTAGCTGTTTCCTAGGGATTCTAATCACCCAAAATTAAAAAATATTTCAAAGTACCACTGATTCTTAGCGGTTCTTCTCCACGCAAAGGGGCGTAGGTACTGTTATGGGGGATACTTCCCCAAATCATAATGGTAAGTCCTAATATAGAAGCCCTGCATTCTACTATAGAGGTACTTTGGACCCTTTGGGCCAAGACTATCAACTAGTACTGCTATTACTAGTATTGTTATTGTTGTTGCTATGACTATTGTGTTCATTGTTGTGATTTTTGTTGCCATTATCGTTGTTGGTTCCTTATGGTCAACGTTATTTTGTTTATACAGTTTATATGAATATTACTTCTTCTTATCACCAGGCTTTTGTTATCGTTATGAATTCTACTGCTACGATTGAAATTACAAAGTTTATTGCCAATATTATTGTCTTCAACATTCGTGTCATTATTCTGCTGATTACTACTGCGATCATAAAAACCAGTTTTCAATATGGTTGTGATAATGCTATAACTCCGAGTTCGGTCTTACACTCAGCATTTAAGACGTATCGAGGGGCCTAGGGTCCGAACTGGTTCTGGTCGTACATGCGAACTGCAAACGCCAAGTTTCCTGATCTCCAAGCAAAAAGCAGGGAGCCTTAACAAGGACCCCTACCCTATAATGGGCCAGACAAAGGTATATAATGGCTATATTAAGGGTAAAAACTTAGAGGTCCTTGATAAGGGTCCCTCCTTTTACCCTTGGAAGATCAGGGTGGATAAGATCATCATCACTGTCACGACCATCATCGTCACCAACACCACCATCCGCAGCAGCAGCTGCCGCAGCAGCAACACCCGAAACCAAAACTCCACTCCAGCGGCCCCACCCAATCCTGTAACAACCCGTCACAAACTTGCCACCGAGCCAACACTGAGCCCTAAGTCCCAAACCCTCCCCTCTAATTAGATCGGAAAGACCACGGCAAATAAACTAAACCCTAAACCCCTAAACCCTAAACCCCAGAACCCAATTTCAACCCAAACTCGACACGATCCCTAAACCTCCCAGAGACTGGATTCCCCGCACCCCTACATCCCAAAAGGCCTCACCCAAGACTCTACCGTGCCTTGATCTTTCTAAAAACACCGAAAGCCAAAAGCCCCGAATCCTTGAATCCTAAGATTCGACAAAATTCACAACATCATGCACCGCACAGCCACAAACCCGAACCGCCCTAAGCAACCAGGTAGTCCTAATTAATCCACGAAGCAAACTAACGAAAACCGAAACATTGCTCAACTTGTCATGCAGACCATGCAGGTTTCTAACTTTGGCTTATTTTAGGATCCCTATAGTAAGGAGATCCTAATAAATAGGCCTTTAAATAGGGTACTATATTAGGGTTGCATGAGCCTATTGGCTTCTGCAATGTCCAATTCGCCTGCTTTGTTTGGGGTTCGACCCTCCCAACCTCACAAGACCCTTAAGCCCGAAAACCTGAACCCTACGCGGTCCTTTGCACCCACATCTCAAAACTCTAACCATGTAATGCCTGAGCTCAGCACCACGACCCCAAGAACGCAATCAGCCTGCTGCCATCGCCGTGAGCGGATCGATGCCTGAACCGATCGCGGAGTTCTAGTACCAGCTTAGTAGAATGTAGGGTTGCTGTATTAGGGGTTACTACTCTGATTTGGGGAAGTATTCCCCATAACAGTACCTAGAACCCTTTGGGTGAGCTTTTCCCTGTAGGCAACCTTTCAAGGTTCTATTCGGGATAATGAAGGAGAATGAGGGCTTGCCTTGTGGCTTCGGGCTAGAAGTGGAGGATTTTGAGGGTTGAATAACTAGACTGTCGTGCTGCATTGCTCTATGATGGTTTCACTGTTCATGCGTCTGTGAATATACACATGCTATATACTGAAATGTATGTACGTACGGACGTAGGTATGTATGTAAGTATGATTATATATACATATAATGCAAGGTGCCCTAACTGTACGAGAGCAACAGATTACTCAAACCGATTTCTGCACCAGTTCAGGAGCTTGCTCTTGAAGGCTTTAGGGGCATTCAAGGGGTGTCACGGTGACGTCCGTGCGCCACTAAATACCAGCAGCGCAACACACATCGACTTCTTGCAAACGGCTCTGAGAAGGTTCTGGGTTAACGGGCTTCAGATTGCAGAGTTACAGGCTGGTGCACAGATCGGGGTGTAGACGCTATCTGATATCTAACTGTAACACTATATACCATGCGCTTCTTATCTAGGGTTATAGGGCTGCTCGATATTAGAGTACTGGCACATAGATAATGACCAGAAAAGCAGAAGCGTCGACATGAGCCTGCGAAATCCAGACGTTCTCCAAAGCCGGGGCTTATTCAATTGTGGATTTTTTTGGCTCAAGAGGGAGGCTCTACGCGCACTACACCAAAATTGAGCTGAAACTTTTCAATGCTAGAGAACTTAGAGAACGCAAATGCCAAACCAGTTGAGACCACGATTTTTTGCAGCACCTCGGCACTGCTTGTCACGACCTCCCGTGAAGCCAAGCGAAACTGGACGCCGACCTGCCAACACTCGGGTTGGGAAGAAGTAGGGTCGTATGAGTGCAAGAAATCACAAAATCGATGGGAGCTACATCCCTAAGAGACCAGCATCCCTACCACAAGCGCCCAGAAAATGAATCGCTGAACCCGCAATTCCTGGGCTTCAGGGGTAGGATCTCCAGCTGCAAGGTTTGGGCTGTTTCTTGCTCAGCATCTATACTTTAAGGGCTCAGTATCCTAGCCCCAAAAAAGGGAAACCCCTGCCTGTATGGTAGGATTCTATACACCCCAAAAGGATTCAAGGTCACCTACTCAGCTACTAAGGAATTCATCCCTGGGATCTTGCAGGTGTGAGAGGACCGGCTCATGACCGGCGTTGGGCTCCGTAATGTCTTGCAGCCTCTTCACCCAAAGGGCCCCAGGTACTGCTACGGGGGATATTTCCCAAAATCATAGGCCAAACCATAATCGCATGTCCGAATACAACCCTAAACCCTACTATTAGGAACCCTACATTCTACTACATAGCCAGGGCTGAAGACTCGATTATAGCGCGTCCAGAGGCTTTCAGCATATTCCGCACCCACCACGTTCCGAAGATTCTAGAAAAGGACCTAAACCCTAAACCTTTAACCCAAAACCCTAGAGGCCTTATTCCAAGGTCGCACCTCCGGCCCCGGACGAACCCAAGAGCACGCTAAACGTTGAGGCCCCGCTCTTCAACGACCAAAACCCCACGTCTCACAAGGATGGGAACCTGCACCGTAACCCGCTGAAACAGTAAACTGTAAACCCCGAAGTCCGCAGCCCTAAACGGCAAAATCACTGAAGCTCAGTACTTAGCCCTGTGGGAATCCCGGAACTCTAGAGGGCCACTGAAGGCCTGCATCCACGAGAGAGCAAGGTGCCACGGCCCCTTTGACCTTATTGAAAACATTTGGGGTTGGGATCATGTGAACTTGGAATTTCGGGATTGGGCTTGAATTTTGTTTAGGGCTTCGGGGCTTGGGAGTTAGGTGTGGGTTTCGGGTTGGAAACCTACCTGTTAACTCTAACTCTACCGGTCATTCCTTATGGCTAAGGTGGACGCTTCTGTCGGATGTTGAGACTCTGCAAAGCTTCGTGAGGGACGCATGGCGCTGCTTGGATGGGTTTAAGGCTGATATGAGACTTCTGGGGCGAAATCCATGGAATAGAATTCATATAGAACCCGAATATAGGGGCCTTAAAACTAAGTTAATACTATAGCTATGATCAGGAACCACCCCGCCCCAAAAACAATAGTATAGGTAATTAATAATTAAGGCCCCTGTATTAGATCCTTATAATGGCCCTTATAGTATAACCCTTGTAGACCTCTGTAAAGGACCCCGAAGTATTTATGAAGGCCCCTAAAATAAAGGAGCTCTTGACGGTGCCAGCGTGGATCTCCGAACGGGTTCGGTCTTCAGAGCTCTACTATACAGAACTTACCTGTTTAGGGTTGAAGGTTCAGGGTTTAGGGAAAATTATAATGCTCGCAGTTTCTTGGGGATTATAGGAACCCAAAACATTGACAACTATAAGTACCTCTAAGTCTCAGTTTTTTCGAGTTTGGGGCCGTTCAGGGCTTCGGGATTAGGCACTCTAGGGTGTACTGCTGCAGGGGTTTCGGCTTTTTGTGTTAAGATTTGCGTGATCATGCAAAAAATCATAGGGTTGGCGCTCTTTCGGAAGTTGCAACCTTAGGTCCTTGTTCATTTTTGGGGGGGAGCCCCGGACATCAAGATTGACGGCATATCAGCAGAAAAGCAAGATGCCATGATTCCGATGACGCACAAACCGTTTCGTGATCATCACACGCAGATGCTTCAAGAGATCAGAGACACCGATTGGCTTCAATTTCTTCAACTTAGCTCTACACCGACACCCGAACATGAACCCTTGCACCAGACAATGCTGCAACCTTTGTGATAGCACATCGCTTTCAGTTCAGTTTTCTGCTCTGCACACTCAGCAGTAGTCACATGTAGTCACTCAGTAGTCGAACTCCTGACAGCAACACCCACGGTTTTTGCGGCTAACTGGCCAAACGCGCAGAATCAGTCTGTCCTCGCCGGATCGGAAGAGTGCATTCCTGCACACCACACCGTTGCAAAAAAACTGCACGGCGCGCAGTGAAAGATCAAAAGCCTCCCGCCGCCACCAGCACGAAACGGTGTGCGCAGGACGCGATCCCTCAGCTCCTGGCAGCACAAGCCCCAGAACAGCTGCAAGTTGGGTATTCCAGCAGATCAATACAACATTATACTGCGTCACACACTGCCACAACCTTTGCCCAAAACCCTGGCCTTGCTCAGCGCCTGGAACCTGCCGGACCACTGGTCGACGCTCATGCCGGACTTGTGCTCCAAGAAGTGGGACAGTTCCGTCAGCACGCAGTGATCCACTGTCCTGAATAGACGACTAGTGACTAGTCCCGGACAGCAAATGCCCAGAGTGTTCTTGGTGTTCACGCACACCGGCCCCTTGTGGTGCAGAACGTCCAGAATGTGCTCGGCACTCGGCCCCCAGAACAATCTTGTCCTGCGGGAACCAAATCTCCCCGAACACACTCTTGGCAGCCCCACGTCACATGCTCTTCCCACCCATACTTCAACCTGCCAGCCCGCACAGGGATGCTGGGCATCAACACACTTCCAAACACAGCACACCGCTCCAAGCACTGCGTGCGTGACCAGCGACACACCTCTCTATGGCTTTCGCGTTCGTACCGCACAGTGCGCTGACGTCGAAGGCTTCACTCATGAGCTCTTCAGCCTTGCGCTTAACCAAAAGAACATGGCCCCCCAAAACCACACCGTGAAAGGCAGACAGCCCATTGCAGCACTGAAACCCCTGAGCAACCTGTGGCCCTCACCATGTACACGAGTGACACGTCAAGCTTGTCCGGCACCCCGAGCTCCTTGCACATGTCCCTGCAGTGAGCGAGTTACTCCGCCACGGGGTAAACCTTCGGGCAATCTGTGACCTCAACCATTCCATTGGCTGCAGCACTGTAGCCACAGCCACAACAATCACTTCTCTACCTGCTACATCTCACAGTGCTACCGGAGAGAAAAAAAGCTTGCATGCCCAGCTGCTTTGTGGGCCCAGACCTGCATCAGAAGGGCGGTGTTAATGGCCGTCACGCCCGATTCGTCCTCGTGACAGAAGCCCAACTTTTGCCACATCCCACAGCAGAGTATTATACACGGCCACACCCCACCACTTCACCCAACAGTTTCTGCTGCGCGTCCTGCGGTTGCTGCAGCGCATAAGCCGTGGCCCGGAAGCTCATGTTCGAGACCAGACCACGGACATGCGGCGGCGTGTCCAGGCCCAGGGAGAACCGCCTAAACGCCAGGCCTCGACGAGCAGATGAGCAGGCCGGGTTGTTGCCAGAGTGCTATGAGACAAAAGCTTAACCATGAAAGGTTTGCAGCCAAGACACTGCGGTCGACACTTGACGGCCACATGCATGGTCTGAGTTTTGACCTCCTCCAAACCATGAAGCGCCTGGCGTTCAATGTCCTTCCGAACGCCACAAGAGCTTCGTGCTCGTGGTTCCCACGGATGTCACGAAGCTAGATCAACCACCTCACGAAACAGCTGCAACCACAGGTCCTTCCAGTTGCGCTTATCACCCAGGGCTTGGTGAAGCGCAACAACTCCACCAACTCCGACTGCGTGGTGATGCAATTCTCATCGCCATCCATGTCGCCTGACACCCCCCGCTTGCAAAAGCCTGCAGTTTACGACTATATAGGGGTTATAGTATTGGACCGAAGTTTAGGGGTTTACAAACACAAAGTGACGAGGCCTGAAGGGTGTATTCAGTGTCTTGCGAAGTCTGACCTTGCAATGGAACAAAGGGATCCCTGACAAAGCACATTGAAGCCCCCCCACACACACAAATCCAAACACACACACACACACACACAGACAGGGAGACACGTGTGCATAGAGACGGGCATATCCTAAACCCTAAATGCTGCCTCCTCAGCCCACAAAAACCAACCTAAGTCTGGGGTCAGTGGCAGATCCTGAAGTAGGAGTCTCTGTCTTATGGCACCCAGCAGCATGCCATCAGGAAAACATCCGCCACCAATGTGCAAGGCCTGCAAGCTGCGGCAAGCAAAGACTGGGGGACCAAGGAATGAAACTATGACGTATATGATGACACAAGAGCAAGAAGTTGTAGCAGTGAGTACAATAGAACGAGACAACAATGACAAACAAAACCACATCGAAACAACTTGGGCCTTCTGGTGTGGTTGTGGCTGCTGCTTCTGCTGCTGCTGAAGTTGCAAGGTGCTGCGGCAGCTGCTGCTGCTGGTTGCGGTGACGGCGCCGGTGCTGGTGTTGTTGGTGTGTTGCTGTTGCAGTTGTTGTTGTTGATGATGAAGCGCTACCACGTTCAGTGGCCGCAAATCCTATATGTTGTATAGCTGTCACATCACCACAATGTAGCCTGTCTAGGGCCCAACTACTGAGGATCCAGGTTGGTGCTGGTTTTGCTGTTGTTGTTGAAACGACGCTGAATACAGTTGTTTAATATTTAAGTAATCACAAACAACGACAACAGCCTATAACACTATACAACATAAACTTGGTGGCCAAACGAGCTGCCCTGCTGTGTATTGGATACATACTCACCGATCCCCGTCATACTTCTGCTGACTTTGCAGCTCGCACTGCAATGCTACATGACACGGAACATGCGAAGCAACAGCTTGAAGCGCAAGCAGCCCTGCATTTAAATATCTTCGTCACCAAGGAAGTGGGGAAGCGGCATCAACAAATTCAGTGGACAGCAACCGTTGCGCGCGTTTGCCATCAGTCCACCAACGCACTTTTCCGACACCAATGCAACATACGACGTCAACGCAACCTACAATCAAACGATCGTCACGTGACTTGACTTGACCTGAACCAAACCACAAGACTGCTCAAAACCACCACATAACGCATGCAAACTTCGCGAACCAAGCTGCCCGTCTCCAGCGGCCACGTCGGGCACAAGCTGCCGCGGAGGCCTTGAGATGCTGATGGTTAAAACAATTGTGACACAGCGCATGGAAACTGCAATGCGCGGTGCAGCAACTTCGAAGGCAAAACGAGATCTAAGATATTCTGACCTGGTGCCAACTGTGGAAATTCTGGAGCACGCATAGGTACCTAGGTACACAATGGCCCCCCATAGTTCGGAGAACAGCCCGTGAAAAAAAACGAACAGAATTCACAAAAATCTCTTCCTGCCTGTGGGCATGATTCGGATTGTGTGCAACGTGACTGTCCGGCGATCGACTTTGCGCGTAGAACATTGCGCGTAGAATAGAGGGCTTCAATGCTGTTGCCAAAGCGTAACCACACGTGCATTTCCCTTCAAGGAGTCTGGAAGGTTACTTTAGAAAACAACAATCGAAACCCGAACCATGACAATCCTAAACCAAACCTCACACTATCTGTAAACCGTTGAGACGTCAACAAAAATCCTCATCCGAGCCTGGATGAACCCTTGTCGACACCCAACCCCAAATTTCCCTGAAGCCCTGACTCTGCGAGCCCGAACTGAGCTCCAACTTTTCAACCCTAGATTGCAGTGTGTCGTGCCCCGGCAACTCTTCTGTAACTGCTGGAAAACCCATAATGGGAGCGTTCCTGAAGCCCCCAAACCTACTGAAAAGGCCGTCGCTACGCGAATCGCAAAGCCGCAAACTTCAAATTCTCTGCCCAGGGCTGGTCTCAGAGCTTTTAGGGTAGTCCCACCTCGAACCCTCGGTGAGGCTATAGGGTTTCATCCAGGGTACTGTGCTTAAGTTGCAGGCCGCTTGGGACCCTTCAAGCCGTCGCAGTGGCGTGAGGTTCGGAGTTACACTTAATATGGGGGGCCTTAATAATTAGAATAGGCTTTCTTTGTTGGGGGGGGGGGGATAATATACTGTAGTCATAACAAGGAACCCCCAACATAGTATTGGTAATTATTGAGGCCCCTATTTTATATGCCTCTCGGGATCCCCAAAGCTCCAGAGTGCGAACATTCTAGCCTCAGGAGAGATTTCCTGGTCCTCGATTAATACTTGGCAAAAACTTGAGGATATGGTACAACTAAAGCGTATTGTGATGAAGTGCAGTGTCATGTCGTGTCGTGTAGGGTAGTCTGATAATAGAATGTGCTGTAAGGTGCTCTAGTGTACTACTCACCACTATTGCCTAGTACGTGTAGCATAGAGTGGGTAGTGTAAACTGCATAGCATGTCGCTCATAGTGTACAAGGCGTATGTCAAATACTCATGTTAAAGGCATGTAGAAACAACATATTCCTGGATTACCAAATGTTAAACGTGGAGTACTGCAGGATATGTACCACCACGGAACTGACTTGTCAACGGGATAATGCTTCACAGCATGCTATGATACAGTACTCTACTCTAATGAACTATACTATGCTAGGCTACACTGTTACATGTATATATATATATATATATACTCTAAGTTGTTCTAGAAAATCTCAACTCAGTGTACTGTAAGAACGGAGAAGTTTTATATGATGCCAGATGACTAGGATAATGGAATCCGGAGTAGTATCAGAGGATGAGCAAATACAGAGAATCTTTGTAGTCAATTGTAGTGTAGAACTAGCGTTGCAGACTATAACTGAGTATAGCAACGTACAGTACATTGCAGTATACACGCATATACATATATATATATATATATGTGTATATGTATATATACCTTATCAATATTTATATACACATGAAGAACAAGAAACTCAACGGTACCATCATAAAGAAACCATGGGGACAAACAAAACAACGAAGCATGTATACAGGCACATATGAAGATGAACATGACGATAGCGACTTGAAACGAAACTAAAATCACCAGATCATATGACACGACACGACGAACTAACGATGCTATGATATATGCTGAAAGAATGCAAAGTATAAGAGAAACCTTGATGTTCATGATTACAACACTAGAAGTAGTAACCACGAGCATAGCAATGAAACCGATGATCACAACAAATAAACCGTAAGTAATACGAGATTAAAAATACCATCCGTTGTGGAGGGCATGTATGTCGCAGCAAGCTGACTATGGTCCAGGGCCCCAGAACCAAGAAAATTGAAAATCAAGCCTTAAGGGTTTCGACACAACCCAAACCCAAAACCCCTGGACCCATAATCCCTCAACCTTAAGCCCTGGCTTGTTCTGCCTTTTGGTGAGGTTGTTGGCTTAGGGTTTATGCCGCGTTCTGGGCTTTGGAGGTTTGAGGTTTAGTGCTTCGGGGTCTTGCACCGAAACCCTGAACCCAGACCCGAAACTGAACTCTGGGTCCAAGGTGGGAGTTTCTGAAAATCCCTAAGAGTCCATGTACCCAAATAGTATATACTTTGGGCGCAATGTACCCATATAGGGAGTACTTTAAGGCCAATGTATCTACTATTTAGGTACATGGACCCTTAGGGAATAGGGGACCTAAGGCTCGAGGTGCTCAGCCAGAAAGCCTGCCTCAATGCATCCTTTGTCCGGGCGAACTCCACAGCAGGCAGCAGATTCCAGCGACTTTGCCGCCTGCGCGCGTGTCAGCCAGCTGGTTCCCCGAAGTCAGGGTTGAAGAGAAAGAGGACTCCGATGCAACAAGCACAACTTGTCGTCTCCTCTCACTTTGAATGGAAACTTAGCTGACTTAGCTACATGCGGAGGCCGGAGGCTTGGAAGGGGCTGCTCTCATGGCTTCCACCTCTGCGATTGCTAGCAGGATTCCACCGCACGCACCGCCACCCATACAGTAGAATAATCTAGAAAACATCGAGACCAACAGTAATGCAACAGCACGGAGGCCTATAGACTTCCTCATGCCTTAGACCTTGAACCCTAAACTGCACTTTCAGCCCTAAGCCCGAAACCTTGAACTGCAGCTAAAACCCAAACCCAGAAACCGAAAGCCTGTATGTGAAGGCGTCCATTGACCGGCGCTTGCTAAGATGTCTGGTCGGCTCTCCAGCAGTAGAAGACTGCTCGAGATCTACGTACATGTAATAGCCATTCTGGGACATGTCTTCGGTCTGGTTACAGAAAGGACTACAAGTCCTATAAGTATAAGCATTATCCAGAACTCGGAACCCTTTACTGAACCATAAAGCTGATGTGAAGGAAGGCTCGGCCCCCGATCTTGGATTCATCTCGAACGTCTCGCGAAGGCCGAAAGCAATCCAACAGAATATGGTATGCTCGGCTTCAGTAGCGTATTCGTACAGTGTATAAGTATAAGCATCAAATATGGTATATAATTAGTAGAAGATCTTAAAGCAGAAGTCAAAACAACGATACCTTCATAGGCTAGAAACGTATGCTAAACCCCCGAAGCTCTCAAACGCATGAACCTCAGCCGTCCGGAAACGCATTACATCAAGAGCCTGCTGCCATGTTGAAGACACCAAGTACACGGAGAGAGCCGCGCCTTTGATGGAGTTTATGTTTCATTGTCTGTTTAAGTTGTTGCTGTACCTGCTGAAAGTCGGCGCACAACCCTGTACAGCTCTCTCTCACTCGCGCCCAACCGCTGCCTGGTATTTCACGTTCTCCCAATCTCGCGAAAAGCGACACCCTTGAAGTCATGAGAATCCAGGGTCACGTCAAATCAACATCTGTAGGTACGTTCCATCTAAAAAACAACAGCAGCAGGTTGATGCCCCGGAGCATTCCATTCCCCCTGAACCCTAAACCCCGAACCCTAAACCTTAAACCCTACAAGCCCGGAGCCATATCTACAAACCAAAGAAACTTTCCGCCTACACCTAAATCATATAACTAACCCTCAAGCCTGGATATAAAAAGACTGAAAACTCACCATCAGTATTCCTTAGGATTCCCTTGTAGACCCAAAACCATATTCTTATTCTTAAAGCCCCTTTACTATTACACCATTCCATTGTAATTGTAATTAGCTATACTATAGTCTAATTACCCAAACGTGTTATTCGTATAATACGTACTTGCCCCTATATTACACCCTACTCTCTAGAACTGGGCAAGACTGGAAAGCTACCGGCAAGCGTCCGAAGGTGACAGCGTCCGGCGAAAAAGGATGCGGCGCCAACATCCGGAACGCTTTCCTGGGCTTAGCCCTAAACCCTGCACCGCTTTGGGTTTATTGGATTCGGGGTTTAGGCTTCATAGGGTTTGGGGGGTCTAAGGTCAAAGGTATACAAGATAACCTGTAGGGAGCAGGATGTAAGGGAATCATGACAAATGAGGAACACAAAGAATTGAAGGTCTAGACCCAAGAGTAACCTAGGAATAAAAAGGGTGCCTTTTTGGTTTAAAGGGGCTTATAAGGGAACCTGAACCCTCAAAAAAGGGAATAAGGGCCTACTCTGGGTCCTAGAGGCTTTTTGGGCTGCAGGGACGGCTTTTAGGGTGGCCGTCGGCTAAAGCACCCTTGGGACCATAATTCCAGCGGTTTTGGTTTATAACCCCTTGGGTTAACATGATATCATTGGGAATAAATCCTAAGAGCAGTGATGTCACTCTCATGTAAGTTGAGGAGATGAAACCCTTAAACCTAGCTTGCTTTGGGCTAGAGGCTTTGGGCATCGGCGCTTGCCGAGCGAGTTGGGGTGCCTCGGTACCGGAGAGGTGAGTTCGAGCCCACCGCAAGCCTGGCTCAGGTTTGGATTTAGGGTTGCATGAACATGTAGCCCCTAAAGTGTACGGGGGTCAAGGGTTCAAGAACTTACGCAGGAAATGCATAAGCTCCGATACCCTGCATGAATCCTGTGCTGAATCAAAACTCCTAATTATAACATCCCAAGGCCCTTAATCGAAATTAGCCCGTTAAGCCGAATTCAAGTCAAACCGAAATACCCAACTCCTAATCAAACACTACAAGTGCAATCATGGAGGTCCTCATCGAACGTCTGAAACCCTAGTTTTGTAACACTCAACCATGACCCGCACTTGCACATCACATGCCTAAGTCCTATACCATGCATTAGAAGCCAGAAAGTTGGAACACCTTGGCGTTCCGGGGTTCTGGGAACTCGATGCTTTATGTGGGAGTTTCCGAAAATCGGAGACCCTGATATGGTACCCCAACTTGTAGGATCCTTTGGACCCCAAATAAGGCACCCCTCATTTTCGGAAACTCCCATGCGTCTGAAAACATGAGACCAGCATTGATGTCACCGATACTAGCACGAAGACCAACACACAAAGTCGCCATCTTCGACATGTATACTCACTCGTAGTTCCATGAACACGGAGCAGCACCGGTAAAAGCAGTGATTAGTCTGCATCATCGCAACAGTATCTTTCTATGAGCGTTAAGCCCATAAGGGACAACTGTCGCAACCGTAGAAAACCGCTTCTTTGCAAGCTGCTGCCAGAGACCACTCGTGCGCAAGGACGAGAGCATCACCTAAAGTCTCAAGGTTCCCGACGGTCCGTGACCCTACACCCCGGAACACTCAGCACTCACCCAGAGAGCCCAATACCCATTAATTAGGGAATATACCTTAAATTATATATTCCTTAAGGGGTACTGGGCTCTCTGGGCACACCTCCTTGAGAAACGACTCTTGAGTTCGGCGGTTTAAGGCTTTAGGATTCGCAGCTCAAGGTGGGGTCGGTGGCGGTGCGGAAATTCACGGTGGATTTGTCCTTGGCGTTGGCGCCTCCATGAACATGCCCTAAACCCCTAAACCCCTAAACCCTAAACCCCTAAACCCTAAACCCTGAACCCTAAACCCTAAACCCTAAACCCATGGTGCCTCCATGGCATGACAAACCTTTAAGCTTCGAAGCCTTGGGTTCCTCGAAAACATCTTTCTCTCAAAGATGAGGTTCAGGATTATCGGGCTCTTATAGGGTAATGAAAATCTAGTAAGGCTTAGGCTTTAGGGCATTGAATTCTTTTGTTGAGTTCGCAGCAGTTTCTGCTCTGTGCATGGATGCGCCTCACATCCTCATCCTCCGTTCCGGTCTGCGCACTAAAGCCCAAAGCCCCGAAAGCCCAGCCAATGCAATCAAGATGCATTGTGGTTTAGAACCTGCCCCGTCAAGTTTGGACAGACTGAGGGTTTCGCGTTCTTCAGGTTACGAGGTGTGGTGACAGGCGAAGAGGAGTAGGGAGGAGCAGTACTGGTGGTGATGGGTAGTATCATATATAAGGTACTTAGCCTTCGCAGGTTAGCAGCTGAGCAGGAGAACGGAGGAGGCAGAAGGAACCGAAGACAGAAATGTATCACGTAAGCCACACCAACAATCCTGAGCCTACGTGGAGCTAAATCCCAACCCTACACCCTAAACTTTGCAAGCTGAACCCTGAAAGCCCCGGCATCTCAAATCCCAAGGCATTGGTTCAAGTCAAACTCAAAGTCAAAAGTCCCTCAAGCCCTTTTAGCCCGAGGCGAATAAAAGAAGTCTCATAAACATATACCCTTACAGTCCTTGTTTTTACATAGATATATCATACCCCTATACCCTATACTCTGACTGTGAAGGCCCGCACCTTAATCTCCACGAATGCCGCACTTACCAAGCCGCGACACTGCCAGCCCCGTCCTCCCAAACGCCGCGATCCCGCCTCCGCGCGGAGGGTCAGCCGCCGCAGGTCCGCAAAAAGCGACGAAGCCATTTCCCACAAAGCCGCCTGCAAGGACAGGGACTGTGGGATACGGATACTTCGGGCTGGAGATGCTACATGGAAAACCTATTCAGGATTTTTGGCGTTGATCCAGTACCTTTCCCATCGAGCCGATAACACGCGGACAAAATGCCACTTCCCCTTTTCTTTTGGGATCCGACCCGCCCCCCCCCCCCCCCACAAACCCACCGCCCAGCTTGTTTGCCCAGACGGTCAAGTCGCACAACCTTGATACTATGGGGGCCTTACTAACTAGAAAAGGGTTTAGGGGCCCGTTTTTACCATAACTATTAAGGAGTTTCCAGATCGCATTGCTAATTATTCAGGCCCCTGCAGTCAGTACTCAGACCCCTACATCAACAGCGAAAAAATCGACGATATGTATTGGTACTGTGTTGGTAAACTGTGAATGAAAGCAAGGCTGGCGTTCCGCTGACACCTCTCATGCGGCTGGGGAATTATCCATCCCAAACCCTAGTACTAGTAAGCCCGGAGTTCAGAACAAGCTTCTGTCAGAACCCTAAACCCCTAAACCCTAAACCGAGTTCGTGTTAGTCGTCTTCTCATGCTTCGAGCCTAAGGTAATTTCCGGCCAGCCTCTCAAAACCAACGGCCCCCCCTCCAACATCCCCCAATCAACAGAAACACTCGTCCATAACACACCCTGCATGGGCAAGTCTCGCAAAACCCAAACCCTGTAAACCTCAACCCTAAACTTTGGACCAGAAGCTAAATATGCACAAAGCTACCCGAAAAAATTAAACCCCACACCCTGAAATCCACAACTTAAGCCGAAATCTGCTCTAAACCCCAAGCCAAAACCCTAAAACTCAACGTCCTAAGCCTGAAACCCGAAACCTGAAAGCAGCTGTTGCATCAAATCTTGTCGAACCGCAATAATCATTAAACCATACTCATAAATTTAACAATACGGCTATAATAGTAATATTAGTACTAGTTTGAACAATACGTAACATCATCGATCCTGCTCCTTTGTATGTTCCTTAGGACCCCGGCCACTTTCTGAATCTCCCCCTAAAGCTCCATGTAGCCATATAGTATATACTTAGGCCTTAAAGGGGTTCCTATATAGGTACTTTAAGGCCTAAGTATGTACTACGCCGCTACATGGAGCCATAGGGTCCCACCTGAGAAATGCCATTTAGGAAGCTGCCCAGGCCCACCAGATCCCGTCGCAGCGCGGAGGACCTGCAAGCAACCTTAAACTCAGTTTAGGGTTTAGGGGTTTAGGGTTTAGGGTGGTCAGAAGGGTTTATTATTGCTTTTTGGTAGGGTTTCTTTCCACGTCTCTGGGTTGTGTGTGTGTAAGGCTTCGACTCAAATGATTACTGAATTCAGAAGACTTGCATAGCTCTCAGAAATCCTGCTGCCAAGGCCTTGTTGGGGTGTAGGGTGTGGGAATCCTACCCAAAGTATCACAAAAATCCCCTAGCTCTTGTTGCATCATGCATGTCTCTTTGATGTAGAGGCCTGACGAACTACCAAGAAAACCCCCCCTATTACTGTAGTCCCCATATTAGCTACACTATGCCCCAAAGTCCTATTCTAAGAATTGGGGCCCCTATATCAACACCATGGAACCGGCAAAACCAAATTACAAACCCTATTCAACTCTCAGCTTTTTACAAGCATTTCTTCCGGACCCCATGTTGAAAGCCCCAACCTTACTAACGACGAGCGATGCAAACCCTATCGTCATCATCAAGCAACCTTCTTAAAACATCATGGGACTTAGCAACTAAGTGATAAGTAAGGTAACTATACTTATAACTACGCAAAACCCCCATGCAGGTACTTAAAAACCTACTTACTAAGTCCCATGATCCTCCACGTACGCCCTAAACCCCAAACCCTGTAGATCCCTCTAAGGAACCTTAAAGCTTTAAGGAGCCTTTTAGGGAACCGTACTTACTAAATCCCATGATCCTCCAAGTCCTCAGCCGGCCTCTGTTCCATCAAGAGCCCCAGTCCCAGTAGCCATGCAGCTGCTCCAGCCATAGCTGTGGCGACGGTGTTGAAGCTTGCCTTGGGGCTTGTGGGTTTAGGCATGTCGAGAATCCCATATATAACTACAATAGGGAACCCGATGGAACAGTATTGCTTATTCTTCGGGCTTCTGTGAGGTTGGGGTTTCAGGCTGTCAAACGGAAAAGATAGATCATTTTTCCGTTCTCTTCCCTTCGATATCTGCGTAACTGCGCTTAGCAATGTCGCTCTGGCACTAGATATTCACATATAATGCTTTAAACAACTTCTAAGCCTAAGTGTGCTTCTCGCTGCGAGTCCTACTATGACCATTGCTATCTTATCGATATGGGAGGTTCCGAAAATTAGGGTACCTTATTTTGGGGTCCATATAATAAGGGTCCTACTAGTTAGGGTACCATATTAGGGTCCCTATTTTCGGAAACTCCCATATCGGTGAAGGGTTCAGTTCAGCCTCTTGGTTCGGCAGTCGTGCCTCAGTGATGTCCGTTCTGCACATCAGGTGGGAGTTTCCGAAAATAGGGGACCTTAATATAGGACCCTAAATAGTAGGATCCTTATTATAAGGACCCCCAAATGAGGCACCCCTAATTTTCGGAAACTCCCAGGTAAACTGTGTATCTTACTTGCTCACTCTGGGGTTAGCTGTTAAGCGGGCCCTAGTCCAGCATCCGTTCAGGACATCAAGGTCTTCAACAATGCGTTCACTATGCTTGATTTCCTGGGGTTAGCCATCCCGAACCCGAATTGTGCTATTCGTGGATGCTTTACAGGACTGGTTTAAAAACTTTCATCCTTTTGCATCCTGCTGTTTGTGCGGAAGAGGCAAGAAGAGGGTCTGGGAAGGTGTGAAGGCAATTTGCCTTCGGTTGAACCCTTAATTCCAAACCCGAAACCGAAAATAATGGCAATACGAAGGTTCATGTCGGAATGACACAGTGAATGCGGCTTTCGCCGGCCAGCTGTGGGTGATGAGTCGGTGACGAGGAACGATGCTACCAGATTTTTCGGCTACATGTACTTGTTCATTGCTAGAGCATTAACTGTAGTACTGTTGTTAATCATTCTTGCTCTTATCACTATGAATATTGTGATTGTTACTACTGTTGCCCTGTGCAAACCCCAAGCTTTACGCATGCCAAGGTGCACAGCTGGGCATCAAGCCGAGGTGTATCTGCCCTGGCTACAGGGCCAGACTCCAAATAATCATAGGGACCCTTAGGGGGGGTAGTACCCATAATAAGGACGTAATATGGCCTACTTAAGGAAGTATAGTCCCCTACCCCCCTCCCCCTACCTCATTTATTAAGGGTCACTATGAAATAAGGTTCCGGGAGCTAGTGCACTGCCTGAAGTAACTCAGTGCCCGAACGATTCGACTAGGATCTTGCGAAGGGTCCTCTAGCACTAGACTGGGGAAGCTGCAGGAACAGCATTACCCAGTCTTCAAGCCCCCAGATTGGAGATTGCAAGTGAGGAAACGGTACGGAAGGTTCGGGCCCTTGGTCCTGGATCAAGGAACCAGTGGATGTACAAACACTCAACTCAACTCTGATGCCTGCATAACCCCAACCCAAAACCCTAAACTCACCAGGTTTTTTTTGCTCACCAGGGTTTAGGGTTTAGGGGCCGAGCCCGTGAAGACTCAAAATCCCAGCCGCTGTCGCTTGAACCCGAAAGTCCAGCTCAGGCCAGTGGAGTTAAGAGCTAACACAGTTGTGAAAATTATGGTCCGTTTTTGGGTACCCAAATATTAGGTGCCGTATAAAAAATGAGGACCCTAGCACCCTGGAACTTGAACTTTAGCATTTGGACGTGAATCCAAAACCCTTCCGTTTTGGGGGTCGTTTGGAATTTACCTGGTTCTGTAGTACCTGACCCACCAAAAGTAAAATTATGGTTTCAGCGATTCGCCAGACCTCTAAAGCGGCTCAGCGCCCGTGGCCAGGATGACAATCCCAGCACGGCGTTGGCTGCCTCCAAAGCCCCATGACACTGGTTTCCCAGAGGGTCCAAATATCATTATAGTATATACTTCGACCCCCAAAATACCCTGTAAGTGTGTCCCATCTTGATACTTGGACCCTTTGGGTTTAGGATTTAGGCCTAAACCCTAAACTCTAAGTCGGTTTAGGGTTGAGGCCCGGCCTATATGGGGGTTTCCGAGAATAGGGGACCCTAATATAGTACCCTAAATAGTAGGATCCTTATTATAAGGACCCCTAAATAAGGTACCCCTATTTTCGGAAACTCCCATATAATGATTCCAAAGGGTTTAGGATTTAAGCCCTTAAACCCTCGATCTGGACCTGTTGAAAAGGAATTGAATTACACGGGTCCTTCAAGAGGTTCGGGCTCTCAAAGCGATTCTGCCCCTACCTTGTGACAGTCTGTTTGGCGTCACATTAAGAGCTATATGTATGCTATATATAATTGTATATATATATATATGTATTGAAAACTATTCTGCAAAAACTGCGGAGTGGAGGCAGTGCCGAAGCGATGATGAGCTCCCCGCGGGATTTCGGGTTTTCGGTTGTTCCGAGTTTTCATGCAACGTTGCAACCCCTTTTGTAGACTCGATCAACCGCATATGAAATCAATACATATCCTCCCGAAGATCTAGCGAAGTGCATCGTGTCCAAGTCGAAGCGTGTGAACACTTTCCTTCATAGACGCGGCGACACTCGTGAGAGTTTCTCTGATTCTTCTACCGCGGCCAGTGGCTAGTTGGTAGTTCTCGTGGGGCGTCTCCTTCGATACGACAAGTCCTGTGAGTAATATAGGGGTTGGAATATTTAATTACCCATACCATTCCTTAAGGTTCCATATCTATAGAAAAATTGGAGTACAAATTTGGACCATTCCTTTCGGCCGAATTCGGAATCGAGTGCCAGAAAGAGTTTTGGAGACTGGGCAAACTTTGTGCTGCATGACAGGGTGAGGAGCCATCTCCCTAAAATTTTCAACTCTTTTAATGCATCCCCTATAAATCTTAACGGAGATCTGTTCCGATGAGCGAGGAGCTCTTTCCCCAAATGGGAGTTTCCGAAAATAGGGGACCATAGTATAGTATATACCCTCAAAAGTAGGATCCTTCTTACAAGGACCCCAAACCCCTCAGTTTCGGATACTCTAAACCCTATGAAACCCTTTATAGAACCCTTATAGATAGATCCCTTAAAGCATCCCTTCAAAGGTACCCCTTAATTTTCGGAAACTCTCAACTTCCCCTAAACCCCAAACCCTCAGCTTCCCTCTTCCGGAGAAACCTAGTCCCAAGGTGCCTCGCGGCTGAGTTCGGCACCTTGGGCCTGGCTTTGAACTCAGGGACTCCAAATACCCCATAATCAAGGAATATATACCTTAAATTATATTAGGGATATAACCTAAATCATATTAGGGATGTACCTTGAATAATATCAGGGATCCTACTACAACTTCAAGTATATTCTTTAATTCAGACTAGTTCCTGGTTGGGATAGGATCAAAAATGTACATGTCTATTCCTTATTGGTTTTAAGTATCCATATGAATGTAAAATGTTGCCCAACTATGACAAAGAAGAGACGTTGGAGTTTCTGGCGTTGAGGTCCGGAACTGCTTCGTCAGGGCTTTGGGTTTTTGGGTTAGGGGTTCGGGTTTGGGTTTGGGGGTTAAGGACCTAGGGTTTAGTGCCTGGCTTTTGCTTGTTTCAAGGGGGCTCAGGCCTCAAAACCCCATCCAACTAAGTCGGACATGCCAACCCGAATGGGATGTTGGGGCCTTTTCGAACCTGGTTTCGTTGTATATAAATCATAGCGCACATATGGGGGCTACAGGGGAATACATGGAAGTTGTCCCGACACTTCTGCTACTTGCAGCTGAAGGTCTTGCACCCCAAAAATCCTAAATCCCGCACACTGGGATCTGAAGCAGCCAATGGGCAAAGTACAATTCTTCTCACCAGGCAACAAGAAAAAAAAAAAAAAACAATTCAGAAGCCTTGGTGCTCCGGCACCCGGAACCCTACATGGGTGGTTGTCAAAAATATGGTCCCTTTTGGGGTCCCTAACATAGTGCGGCACCTAGTATTTAGGGTACCCAAAAAGGGACACTAATTTAGAGAACTACCCACATACATCTTATTAGGCTTTTGGGTTTAGGGCCTTTGTAGGATAATTAGAATAAGGAACCCTCAGGAATAGTTTTGGGAATAAGCCCTAAACCCTAAAACCTGATTCCGGAACCCGAAATTAAGCAGCGGCAGGAGCACCCGGAGCTTGCAGATCAAGCTTTCGACAATCTTCTCGGCCTGGGAGAGTTGAATTCTTAAATGATCGCAAAATACCTATACACAGCGGCAAAAAGCGGTATTGTTAATGCATTCACAGGATCCCAATCCTACAGGGTAGCCCCCTGCAAAACCCTAGTGCAGGGTTTAGGACCTAGGATTGATTTAGGGAGATGCCAGAACCAAAAGCTCGCCCTACAAAGCCCTAAACCGTTGTAGAACCTACGCCCAAATGGGTAATCCTACAGACCCCCGCAGTATACAACCGGAACCTGACCTAAACCCTGAAAAACCCTGCGTGCTCATATATCCCGCCAAGGTGCAGGCTTACACCCCTTAAAGCCTACTACCCTAAAGCCAACAGCCGCCCTTTGAGGCCTGGGAGGTGTCCCGGACAACCCGGCAGGCTTCCACAATCGCCACAGAGCTCATCGGAGCAGAGCGCCGCGACATCCAAACCTCGAGCAGAGGAGGCTTCTGGTGAGTAAAAGGGCTTTCGGAGGCCTCGGAAGATGTATTGTAGAGGCCTTGTAATAGTTCCTATCGTATTTGGGGTTCCTTAGTAGAATTAGAGTATAGGGGGCCCCAAAACCCTATTTTAAAATTACTAAGGCCCCTATATTACGGTTTTTGCTTAAGGCTTGAAGTTTCTTGAGCTTTCGTCGTACTGTTGAGGACCCAGGGTATCCGCATTCAGCCGCAACAACAGTATGTGTGCAGATAATAGGAGAGCACTGCCTCCTGGACTTTGTGCAAACCCCTGCCGTAGCTCCTGTAAACCCTGAACTTCCTAAACACCTAGCTCAGCCCCTTGACCCTAAATCTCGCTGGTAGGATGGACTGTTTTGCGAGGCAAAGGGCTCGACCACACGAAACGCCGAAACTCGGTAGACATGGGAGATTGAAGACAGCAACAGCTCTTTCCGCACGGGTGCGGGCTTCAGCGCGAAGTTAAGAATCTGTGGAAAAAGGTCCTGCAAATGCACAGCTCGAAGTGAAAGTTCTCTTTGAGGGTGCACAAGAAGGCTCACCCCTCAGCCCCAAAAGTCCGCAAGCCCTGCACAACATCACGTACGGGCCCTGCATCTTACAACCGGAATGCCACAAACAGTCATCCACCTTCAAGCATTGAGGTTTGGGGCTCATGGCTTTACAGTCTTTGGAGGACGTCCGCTGCTTACACCCGAGCCTTGCAATTGACAACTCCAGGCAGCCGTTCTCTCAACTTACAACCCGCATGCTTGATTACCCCAAACCCACATGACCACCTAGCATACTTTTCCAAGTTCAAAGCGATATCAGTCAGTCCGGTGATGTATGCACGGGAAAGTTCCACAGAATGATGAGGCTACTAAATAGAATCCTTTGCCCCGAGTTACTGCTACTCTCAAGCATGATGATAGCAATGACAAGAATAGGAATGCCTCTACTGATCCTGATTTGGCCCCTGAAGTATGACGACCCGAAATTCCCTGGGCTTCGGCTCCCTAAACCCTACACCCCTAAACCCCTAAACCCCTAAACCCTAAACCCTAAACCCCTAAACCCCTAAACCCTAAACCCTAAACTCGCAGACAAGAAGCCAAGCTGCGCATGCCCCATTCCCATAGGTTCCCTGCAGAGAGCGCCTCGCTCGGGCCGGCGCTTCTGGCCGGTTTGGGGCTTATGGGTTTAGGGTTTAGGGTTTAGGTGGGGGCCTTCACAACAATTAGAATATAGGGTTCCTTCAAAAAGGGGTCTATAAGGGCCACTATGAGGGCTAGTAACAGGGTATGGGAAAAGGGGCCTTATAATGATTAGAATAGGGTTTTGGGGCCCATAAGACAAAAAAGTTATAACAAGGACCCCCCCCCCCCAAAAAAAATAGTATTGGCAACTATTTAGTCCCCTACAGTAGGATGTGGGGTGAACACAGGGTTGTCAGAATCCCAAACTCGCGGTACATGTCTTTGAGAAGACCATGCCATCGTGGCTCCCACGGTCACCCTTTAAGCCCTAAACCCTGAATCCTGCCTTCATCGTGGCTCCCACGGTCACTGCCGTACCAGTGCCCCAGCACCAGAGTGTCCACAGCACGCGACGCCAGTCATCGTGGCTGGCGCCTGCCACACTAACGCATCAAAAGAAGGGGTCCTTAAGACTTGGAATAGGGTTCCTGTAAAGGGGCCTATATAGGGGTTCCTTTAACGGGATCCATAAGGGTACTATGGTATACGGGCCTTAAGAAATAGAATGTAAGGTTTCTTTGAAGAGGGTCTATAAGGGCGATTATGAGAATTTAGTAAAGGGGCCTTATTAATTAGAATAGGGTTTTGGCACCCAATATACCATAACCATAATAAGGAACCCCCAGAATAGCCTTGGTAACTAATTTAGGCCCCTATCGTATTCCACACAGAACCAGATCAGAGCCTGAAGCCCCCAAAACCTCCTCTTCGACACCTGCGCTGTTTCGAGGCTGAAGCCAAACGGAGAAAAAATGTACATCTGAAGCTGAGTTGTCCTTGAAGCCATTTGAAAATTATTTACAATTATGGTTCTCTACAAAATAGCAGGGGGAAATGAAGAAAGATCCCAAAGGACAACCCAGGAAGGTGGAAACTTCAAACCCCAAATCCCTACTCACGCACAACCCATCCCCAAACCCAAACCCTGAACCGAAGCCTCTAACACCGCATAGCCCCGGCCTCGATTGTCCTCTCGAAGTCCACCCCAGCTCCAAAATCACCCGAGCCCTAGCCGAACTCGAAACCTTTCTCCGATGCTTTAGGGTTTATGGCTTGGGGTTTAGGGTTTGGGGTTCAGGGTTGGGGGCTTGGGGTTTAGGGTTTTAGGCTTTGGGTTTGGGGTTGAGGGGAATCTTTCGAACCTGGGGTTTAGGGTTTAGGTTTAGGGCCTTAGGGTTTAGCGTAGCTAATTCCCCCCAAGCCATTGAAGCAAACCACAGCTGGACTGATTTTAGGGATTCAAACCTGCAACGATATATGAAATCTTCGAGCAAACTGCGCGAATTATCCCGACACCGTAACCCTAGACTCTGGACTTAAACCCCTACCCACAAGACCTCTTGAACCCGATAGTGTAGGAATCTACACGTATAACACTATTACCATATCAAGGACTATAAAGTAATAGGTAAAGGAACACTGTTACAACATTCCGATACCGACCCCTTAAGTGCCCCTTTCGATTCGATACTAGCACACTCTGCGCGCTCCTATGGCAGCGTTCACCGTCCGCACGTCGGGCTCCAGAGAGTTCAGACGAAGGCCGTCCTCAGCATAGAATGGTTTAGGGCTTTGGGCTACAGGACGCAGGGGCTAAGGTTTGGGGCTTAGGTTTCAGGGGTTCAGGATGCTTTCGGGTGTTGGGGGTTAGTTACTTGCGCCCTGCTGAGGCAAGCCGTTTCAGTAGCATGTGACTTCTTCTGAAAAGGCTCTAATGCTATCCCTTCGGGTTCCTACCTAACTTAACATGGCACAAAACTCTACTCTAAGTAGTAAGGCTCCGATACATGACCAACCCTGATCCAACTCTAAACTCGTAGCCTTAAGGCTTTCGGATTCAGGGGCCTCACGACCTTATGATTGACAGTTTCCTCAACTACACACCTAAACTTTGATCCTACGAGAACGGCATGGCAGAATGGAGCTTCTCCGTTCCGCAACAAAAGCACAAACCCGTCTTATAAGTGTTTCCGGTTCTGAAATGCCATCTATTTCGCGGCATTGCACGACAACTGAAAGGGTCTCGGAGTTTAGACTCTAGACACAAAATCGTTGGATATGCACATAGCACACCATTATACTTTAACATACTCTTGATACAGCAATATACTATGTTACATACTGTCGAATTAAGCTATCACCCTTTGTTGCTGACTTCAAATGTCCAAAAAAGTGTACACTTTCAGTCGTACAAAGGATCATCAAATCCCAACAAAGTGTAAAGTGTACCCGCTCAGACACTAAGTATATCTATACTACTATACTATACCATGGTATACCAAACACCGCCGAACCCCGGATGGATCTCGCGGCTCCGCTCCCTTAGCCGTGGGGCCCAAAGAGCTCGAGCAGTCTTCGCATGAGGCCCCTGCCAGCTTTAGTGTGTTCATGGTATGTTGCGGTATGCTCTGGTATGGTAAAGTAGGTATCATATTGTCATTATATTGGTCGTGCACATTTCGTAGGGATTGGGGATTTTCCGCTCTACGGGTTTCGGGCCAAGGATTAAAGGCTGAGGGTTCAGACCATCCAGCTCCCCCCCAACTACCCTCTATTCTCTAAATGCCCACTACCAAGGACCATATGGGCTCTATGAGAGGGGTAGGAGGGGTAGTTGGGGGGTGCTGGATGACCGTCTCTTCTGTTGCCTCCGTTCAAATGGATGTAATTACTCTACACTGAGGTCGACTAAACTGTTCAAGCACTTCCATCAGCGTCCACGGGCACATGGACGGCTGCGTGCACTCTAAAAACACACCTGCACTCACCGACCCTTATGAAATCAACCAACATATATACATTTATAGAGACATATACATAGACATAGAAACAAAAACATAGACACAGATGGACATTCTGAGACCCCACCTGCTCTTGAATCACGAAATCACCTTCAGTAATTTAGCCCAAACCCTCCATCACGAACTCATCGCACTCTTAGTGTAAACCTTATAAACCCTAAACCACCACACTCATAACGACTCTAAACCCTAAAGGGGTTTACCACACTCATAACGACCCCGGTCCGAACGTGCATCCACACCTGGACCCTACACGCCTGGTCCCAAGCCATAAAGCCACCACGCATGATCCCTAAGTCTCTTGTCTCCAGAGCCCCGTAAACCCTAAACCCTAAACCCAAAACCCCAAGCCCCTACACCTCAAGCCCTATAAATCCTAAACCACTCAATTTCCAAACCCTGAACAACCCTAACCCTCCGAAATCTCCAAAACCCCGAGCCCTATACACCCTAAACCCCCAGGCCCAAACCTTTGAAACCCCAAACCCTCAACCCCTAAACCCCAAGCCCTAATGTAGCCGAAACCCTACACCCCAAGCACCCAACCCTGAACCCCCGACCCCTAAACCCCTAGACCCCCAGCCATAAACCCTACATTAAACCTTTAAACCCCAAGCCCAAACTCCATGCCCTGAACCCCAAACCCCAAGCCCTAAACCCCCAAACCCTAAAAAAAACCCAAACCCTAAACCCAAGCTCTAAACTTTCGGGCTCTCGCTCCGGCCTCACAAGCCTTGAGCACAGTGTTGTAAGTCACGACCTGAGGACGAGTTACTTTTTTTCGTACGGGCGCTCTATACAGGCCTGCTACTGTCAAGAGGTATAGGTTTTTTTTGTGCACCTTTTTCCACCTAGGTATAGGGGTTTGGGGTTTAGGGTTGCCGGAAGGAGTCGATTTGGGAGATGGGAGGTTCAGAGTTCCAAAAGTGCCTCAAGACGGAAATAAGCGTGTAGGACGGGTGCGGACTTTTGGTGCTGGCATTTGGGGCCCGGCTCGGCGCGCTCCAGACACAACTTCCCATCAGGGTTCAGGCCCAGCTGGGTTCCTTATTGTACTTATAGTATAATGGGCCCTATTCTAATTATATCAAGGCCCCTACATTACGGTTTCGGGTGTCTTAGCATAATGGGCCCCAAAACCCTGTTCTAATTATTGAGGGCCCGGATACAGAACCGATAGAACCCTGCTATAGATCTCTTATAGTAGCCCTGTATAGACCCGGCCATGAACCCCATTAACCCCAGAACCCAAGAACCCCAGAACCCTAATCTCTGCAAGCACTACCCCTAAACTCCATGATATTCAATATACTGACAGTACTTGCAATAGTAGTATTGATGATGACAGCTAATAACGCAACTAATTGTAGCAGCGCTAATTATTAGCAGATATTAGCAACCATCAAGTAATCACTCATGTCAGATATGAACGACAGTATGTCTGCATGCGTAGATGTGTATATAGGCATGTACATTTGCATGCATATCGGTATGCATGTATGCTTGTATGTATGTGTGTATTTATGTATGCATGCATGTATACGTCTATACATGTACTGATTTAAAACATGTATACATATCATATGCGATTCCGTATGTATTAATATGAATACATGAGGAAAACGTAGAATACACAAGCACCACTACACGTGGGAAACCGAGAGCACGGCGTTCACCTTCGAACCTGAGCTGTAAGAGGCGGAGGGCATGTTTTCTGCGGTTTGCTTTCATCCACAGGGGTTCGGGCGTAGGGCTGGCTTTAGGGTTTATAAGAGTCTTTGTGGTGTAGGATTTTCTGGTCCATAAGAGTTCACGGTTCTAGGCTTGTGAAAAGCTAGGTATATAAATTTTACCAAGAATTGTGGGGTTCTTGGTTTCAACCAAATTACGGTTCCGGCCCCGAAGTCCCGAGGGTTGGAATCATGAAGAACCCAGGCACAAAATTATGTTGAGAGTGCTGTGTCGGAAACAGGAACCAGCAACAACGAGGCACTGGACTCTGAGACATCAACAAAGAGAAGTGGCTTCTTTGAGCCACAAAAAAATCGATACATGACAAACACTTTAGCCTGTTCTTGCGGGCCTTCGAAAATCACTCACGTGGCATCGGCTCATCCTGTAGCATACCCGTACGGGCCGCCAACAGGTCAATCATCGAGTTCTGAGGGGACCCAAGAATCTCGGCCGGCATGTTGCTCAAGTCTCCAGACTCCAGATCCTCCTGAGATGCCCCTTCCAAAATGTCGAAAATCTGCCTGACCGACGGGCCGGATGCCGGAGGCTCACCCGGAGAGCGGGAGTCGGAACCACACAATCCACCATATATGCCAAACCATGTTCTAAGTCTTAACGCCACTGTCATGGTCTTAGTGCTCCTCCTGGGTCGTTCTAGGGCTTTAGGGTTTTGACATTGTGGGGTTCAGGGCGAGGGTGTAATGCGCAGGATTCAGAATCTTTAGTTCAAAGGCTCAAGGCATGCCTTAACCTGAAATGCGCCTACTTGTTTCGAGGGTCATGTTAAGACACCTGCAAAGAGTAGTTTCGAAGTCGATAAGGTTCAGGAAGGGTCCAAGAACCCATTGCGTTATTTCATTTGGGTTCGGGTGCTGCGGCTGCGGTAGCTCCGCGAAATAGCGCTTGGTAAGCCCGAGAATCAGTGTTAGCCCACCCCGACCCGGACCTCAGCCGCCAGTTTCGGAGTGCTAGATACCCTACACATCCCTAAAGGCATGCCCTTGACCAGCAAGCCCCGGAACCTGGGGCCCCTCAACCAGAAACCCTATAGCCTTATTAAGCCCTATGAACCCACACATTTTCGAAGACATGCGGCTGACGCTGTGCATCCACGGAAGCAGCTGCACTGTTGCCTTTCCGTTACAGCTGGCAGCCTCTAAAACTCAACCGAAGTAGTGTTGTGGTTGTAACCTCCACTGCAAGCGCACTCCAGATGAACCGAACAAAGGCTTTGACGACGAGTATCCACTGATGGAAGACCCATCTCATGAAGTTCCGTGAAACGACCGACGTTGGAACAGGACCAAGTATTTAGCTGCTCTGCGTGTGCTTTGACTGATCGATGTTGCTATTAATTTCTACGCTTCTACACATTCCCAGCTCCGGTCCGTGAGCATGTGAACTCAAAGCCCCATGTTTGTTGCAGTCGGAATACGGAAGCCTCCTTGCGAATTAAAGCAAGCCATGACAGATGCCATGACGATATCTAGAGGCCTTTCACCTGGACACACTCAAGATTCGAGCTTCCCGCATGCACCCTAAGACAACTGCAAGACTGAAGCCCATACCCAAAACCTAGACGGTAAAGTAAAAGCCAGAAAGTTGGAATATGATTATCCTAAACCCTTTATGGTAAATTATAAGGTATCCTAATTACCCTGATACCATATTCCAACTTTCTGGAGTTCCCCATATCATAAGCGCTTACTCCAACATCCCCACTCAACCCCCGTATCCTGATTCCGCAATCAAGGCCCAACCCCTGAGACCCACACACCTGGACCCAAAAACCCTGGGTACGAAATAGGATCCTATTGCTCTAAGGAACTTGAACAAGAGGATCAAAGCAAGGACCCTAAACATCACTAAGACCCCGCTTTTACAGGTCCTCGCATCCTAGAAATAGGCTCCTACTTACAAGGATCCCGAAGCGGCTGCGTTCCGGTTTCCACCCTGTTTCCCCGGTCGGCCCCCTCGTGGCTGCTCAGCATGCCATTGATGTTCCTCTCTCGCTGAGACCGACACACAGACATTGACATGCTCTTATGGCAAGTGCCCCAGATTGTAGGTTCACCATCAGTGAGCAAAGCGTTCTCCTCTTCCAAATTTTGGGCCCTGCTTATGACGGCCTCAAGTTCTGCAACATGCCGCAGCAGCTCTTGCAAGAGACCTTTGGCGTGTACATTCACGCTTCCGCTGGACTTTAACCTTCTCATCGAGAGGTCGAAGATGGCGATGACGCTGAAGATAAATGCCGTGCTGAACTCTTTGGGTCTTATTCTGCGATCTTCTGGCTGGAATCCCGGCTCGTCTTGCCGAGGATGAGGATGCTGCGCTACGCGCGGCACAACCAACCAGTTGTTTCACAACACCGTGGCTTCTGCAGACCACCCTCCAGCGGCTGAGGTCTCATGACGGAGCTTTCCCTCTCTGAATGAATACGGAATGAGGGGTGGAAAATGGAAGCCCTAAAGTACACTCCTGGTGAAAGGCTTGGGGTTTACATTTTCTTACGACAAGGCTGAAAAAGGCACAGAAAATAAACCGGTAAGGTTTGGGGAGCGACCAACACCTACGAAACCTAAACCCTGCGATGGAACATCCCGGGGGGACGTAATCTCGGCCTCAAACCCCAAACCCCACTTTACCTCTAGAGCCCTACTATAAACCTTACACCCTAATCCCCTAACATCCCGAACCCTAAGCACGGCCTGCCACCTACCCACGCAGTTGGCGGCCGCATTGCCGGAGATCGAATCTGGCTGAAAGCCTCCTGGCCGAAGCCTCGCGCATCACCCGAAGATCTAGAACTCAGAGGCTGAGTTCCCTAGCCAATATAAGCCCCAAAAGGTTAAAGGCTACCTACTCAGCCCTTAAGAGAACGGGCTCTGTAAGGGTTCTGAAAAGCTGAAAAAGTCCCCCGAGTTATGAGGCTTCTGACAGGTTATATAAAATGCTCGAGGCGGGTTCTGTAAGAGTTGTATCCGGGGTTTCCTAGCACTGGGTTGAAAGCTACAGGGCTTCAGAAAGAGTGTAGAGGAAGGCTTGAATAAGTAAGACGACCCTCTCTTTCAACCGAACCGGAAACTCAAACATGCATCCGGCACTCCCAGCTCGCAGGTGAACCCAAACCCTGGGAGCATGGGAATCCGAAAATCGAGAAGGCCGGGACCGAATCCTACTCTTGCCCAGCAGCAGAAATCTAGATACAAGGACCACTGCAAAGGCTCCCCGAAAGATGACTCACCCCTCCCGAACACCCTGAACCGACCCAAACCCCAACTCCACCCCCCGCCCCACCATAAAACATCCTGTGGTCCTAAGCCTAAGACACCCTAAACCATATAATGTAGGGGGCCTCAATGGTTGGAATAGGGTTTTGGGGCCCATTATACTACGTTCATAATGAGGGTTTAGGGTTTAGGGTTTAGGGTCCCCAAAATAGTCTTGGTAATTATCTCGGCCCCTATATTCAACCCTCTCCTAACGGCCTCGTGCAAAGCAACGCCGCCTGTCGCCAGGCCGTTGCCGGCGCGAAGGAGGCCAAGCAGGAATTCCTCTGATGGTTATTTCATGTTATGTCACATAAAAAGTAAAACATTGTATATCGGGGACTTCATAAGTAATGTTATATAAAGTTTAAGATATATCGGGAATCGTAATAAGTAGAATCGGGCTTGGGGCGCCGAACGACCCAGAATTATGAAGGGGCGCCGAATAACCCAGAATTATGAAGGGAACTAGAAGGACTATTATCACTAAGCTTTCAGGCTTCCATGGTAGTCTTTCGGGAATGGCTTTGGGTTTGGGCTTTAAGTGTGGGCGTTGGGTTGGATTTACGGTTTGAGGGTTCTGACTCACGGCAATTCAGGGTTTTTACCGGGTTTCATGGTTCAAGGACTCTGGGTTCTGTGGAAATACGCACTCTAGCGATTCTTTGTTGTGCTTTATCAGGGACTCAGATAACAAGAGCACTATGATGCTTTCTATTCGGGTTTGAAAGGGAAGGCTCTAGGATTCAAGGTTTGCAGCTTTTAGTAAGGGGTTCCCTCGGGCGACGGAGTGCTACATATAGGATAAGGGGCTTTCTAAGTAGGGATATAAATACGACAACTACACCCATAACGACTCAACCCTGACGACTCAGGGTACTTAGACACAAATTTACACAGTGTTCCTCGATTTTTCAGTAAAGTCATCAGGATTTGGCAATTGTAATTCCCGTTGTACAGCGTTCCAGTTTTCAGGGTCAGGGTTCAGCGCTTTGGCTTTAGGGGGTTCGTTGCAGCCTTCGGCTTGAACCACTTGCAATGAACATGTCTGGGTTTTTAGGGTTGAGGGCTCGATGTATGAAAGCGCCTGGGGTTCGACGAATGTTTAGGGTCTTTCTCTCTCTCTATATCCCTCTCTCCTTCTCTCTCCTTCTCTCTCCTTCTCTCTCTCTCTCTCTATCTCTCTCTCTCTCTCTCTCTCTCTCTCCCTCCCAGGCGTAGGGACCGGTCAACCCCTCGGGCTCAAAAGCCCACCCGATAAGATTTGTTTTTCGGGATAAGCGGAGTGACGAACGGTGTAGCACATCCTTCAACCAAAGCCTGAAAATATACGATAATGGAAAGAAGATGTACCTACACTCTCAACGGTACATGATAGTCCCCGCACTGTCCCATGCCTTTCAAAAAAGAGATAACCTGAATCCTTCAGTGCAGGAAACCTTAGGCGGGGAGCAATGTTCCTCTGCTTTTACAAGTCTTCCCGATGTTTACAAGTCACCTTGACATCAGGGCAGTTACAGAAGAAAGGGCGAGGAATGCCTACTTGCAGTGCATCTCCCTCGTTCACAGAGGTGTCAAAGTTCATCAACTGGTTCCCCCGCACATATGATCAAGATACAAGTGCATCTCTCTCTCTCTCTCTCTCTTCCTACACACATGTTACATATGATATTGCATATTATAACACACACATATACATATACATATATGTGTATATGATATGTATACAAACATACATATACATACACGGGTGTCAAAGGCAACTTGGAATGCTTTTCTGCAGGTTGAGCCGGAAGACTAAACTCTTGCATTGCAAGCCCAAGATTCCAGCAAACAACGCCGGGCTCGACATTCCAAAATCCTTTGCAGGGAATCTTAAGGTCTATTCCTAGACGAACAGTTAGATTATGCTTCTGTTGGTCCGGTTCAAGGCTGATAATACTGTGGACTAAACCCATGTGTGTGGGGGGAGGTTCTTTTCAGAATCTTGGCGTTGCTACAGGTTCGTACTGGATTTTAAGGGTACATGCAGGGTCGAGGAGTCTAGCTTGATGAACTCGATGGAGCCAGTGATTGCAACACTCCTGAATTAAGGAATACTGTAGGGGCCTTGATGATTAGAATAGGTTTCTGGGGTATATTATGCCGCTTATTATGCCATAACTGTGACAAAGAACCCCCTAAAATGGTGCAGGCAATTAATTAGCTCGGCCTACATAGTGTGCCTTCAAGTCTACGAGAGAGCCCCCGAAACCCTGAACCTTCTAATTTGGCTTCATTCCTTCTCCTGGATGAAACCCCAAAAATCCAAAACCCTAAACCCTAAATCCTAAACCCTAAATCCTAAAGCCGGGGCTAGATTCTCAACTCCTCCTGTTTAGGTCCAGTTCCTGAGCTCCTGCTTGAAAGGAGATGAAGTTTTGGGATCTGAGGCTGAGGATTTAGGGTTTGAGATTTAGGACTCCGATTTAGGATTTGCAAGTTCGGATTTAGGATTTCCGATTTGAGATTTAGGGCTCGGATTTAGGATCTGGAATTGAGGGTTTAGGATTTTGGATTTTACGTTTATAAGATTTAGGATTTGCACTCGAAGGCAAGCCCCAACGGTTCAGCCGGCACCTCGTGTGGTAGAGAGAAATCCGACTGCCCGGGTCCACGAGGCACCTGGCCGGCTTTTCGTAGGTTTAGGTGCTTAGGGGTGCACCTGGAATGTAGGAACCTGATGAAGAAACCTTGGGTCTTTCTTAGGGTTCCGTGTGTGAATCGCCCAGCCGGGGTCTCTTAATCAAGTTCCTATATTAGGGTCCAAGTGTTCAAGGCTTAGGATCTGGGGTGCGGGGTGTCGGGCTTGAGATGTGGGTGGTTGTCAATATTAGGGTCCTCTTTGGGTCCTTGTTATAATACGGCACCTAATATTCAGGGTACCCAAAACGGGACCATAATTCTGACAACCACGTGGAATCTAGGAGTTCAGGGTTGATGCCGGGCTTCAGTTCGGTTGCAGCTTGGTTGGAGGTATTGCCCTTGCTGTCGATTCCCTCTTGTCGGGCTCTGTTGCGAAGCCTGGCACATATTCAACTAGGAAGTCGCCGGTCGAAGTTCAAACATTTTTGAGGGTCAGGCTCCGAAAGTGGGAGCTGCTGCAACTCTGTGATGATCTTCAATATCCTGAAGAATCCATCTGGCACGCAGCACGTTGCTTGAATGATGCTGCCCAGCTTCTTCTTTCTTACATCCCGTCGCCGCGGCTGCCGTGACGAAAGTTGAACCTTCTACTTTGATGCAGAGGCAGAAGCTGGCGACACAATACTACCAGTCACTCAGGATGTAACATTTGGAACCTCCTTGACAGTGCACTGCCACATGCCTGACGATGACACACAACTCCATCCATCAGGTATGCCTGTCTGCTGACATGCCTCAGGATTTGGGGTTTGGGTTCGATGTTAGGGTCTGGGTTTACAGTTCGGGGTGTGGGGCCGAGGGCGCAACAACTTAGGGTCAAGCACCGGCCGATCACAACTGCCAAGTGGGGGTTTCCGAAAACAGGGGACCAGAATATAGTACCCTAAATAGCAGGATCCTCGTCAGAAGCACCCCAAACTAAGGTACCCCTAATTTTCGGAAACATCCAACTAATCTAGGATCTAGGAGATCATAGAGTTTACGGTTCAGGGGTTGCAAGCTTAGGGAGCGGCACGATCAAGCCCTGGTCAATGTCTTTGAGCCCTGGCAGGAATAAACCTGGTCATAACGCAACCTTACCGATGTGCTTGGTTTCGCAATCTCCTGGTCTAAATTATTTAAGCAACTTAGGGTTCAGGGTGGCGCCACCTCCCGAAAAGCAGCACTGGCAAACCCCTGACCCGCTTTATCACCAATCCACTCGGAACCACTCCCTCGCGAGATGTGCCCAACTCCATTGCCTCACAAAGCCTCCCCCCATGCAATAACTAACATAAACAGCGTAGATCCTAAACATCCCCACAAACTCAACACCAACCCAGTGCCTAAGCTCTCTAAACATTCAACGAAAACCCTAAAACCTCTAAACAACTAGTGCCCCCCCCCCATACCCTATCTGTAGGGGCGTGTTATATTACCCTGGGCATCTAAGGACTCATATATTAAGGCTTTTGGGCCCAAAGACCATATTATATAAGGCTTTTGGGCTATTTTGATGCCCAGGGTTAGTGCAACCATACGCACCTCGGAGGTCCTCCGCTTTGGCAATTGCGTTGACGCAAGTGCCCAGGCTGATCGCTGAAGCCTGGAGGGACCTCGTCGAATTTTGAGGGTTCCTTTAAGGGTCCCTTTAAAGGGATCTATAGGGAGTCTATAAGGGTATAAGGGTATAGGGTTTAGGGCTATAAGGGTCCCTTTAAAGGGGTCTATAGGGATTCTCTAAGGGAACAGAGTTTAGGGTCTACTTGGAGGTTCATGGGTGGTTATAAGTGGTGTTATACGTCCCTTCATATGGGCTATAACGAAGTTATAAACATCATTACCCTACTTACTTATAACCCTACCTGATAACTAACCATGAACCTCCAAGTGAAGGATTATCGTACTTACTTGCTTGTTTTTCTGACCCCACCTAACCCTCAGATCCCTAAACCATACACCTCCCAAAACCCCTCAAAATGCTGATGTGTTGTTTAGGTACAGGCTTTTCCGAAACTAGAAGTTAGGAAGTTCGGCTGAGGGCTTTCGAGGGGTGTAAAGTGCATCGCTGAAGGCTCCTGGGCGCTGGAGGGCAGAAGCTGGGGCTCCGGCGCTGTGGGGAGCTCTGGTTTTGGGTTTAGCAGTTTAGGGGTTTAGCGGTTTAGAGGCTTTGGGTTCAGGGGTTTAGGGTAGAGCCTTTAGCTAAACTAACTACAAGAGCTATCCTTAAGGTAGCTGACCGCAACATTCCTTGAGTCAAGACTTTTCGATGGTATTGGGAATTTGGGGCTTCAGATGCACTGTAGAATCCCTTCTTCGGTCATCCTGGTAGTTGGAGGTCTACTTTAGGGGCCGTAATAACTAGAATAGGGTTCCCTTTAAGATGAGTTCCTTGAAAGGGGGTCTATAAGGATTACTATAACGGGTATGATGGGGGTTTAATATAGGGGCCTTAGTAACTAGAATAGGGTCTGGGGGTCCATTCTGCTATAGTCATAGTACGGAGCCCCCAAAATGGCATTGATAATTGTTGAGGCTCCTATACCTTATTGTTCTTGGTGAATTGTAACTACCATGCCTTTGGGCTTCTTCGGGTTTACGGTTTGCGAGCAGGCTATATACAGAGCAAGTCTTGCAACACGGCTTAGGGTTCAGGATTTAGGGTTTAGGACTTAGGGTTCTGGGTAAGATTGGGTGTCCGCTTGATGTCGGGACTTTCGCTCATCATGCAATAAGTCTGACGTAAACACCAGGTAGAGTCAGGTAGGGACTATGCAACAATGCAAGTCCTCGTCTCGCCTAACAGAGCTTACGGCTAGGATCCAGGAAACAACTATATAAATAAATCTGAATCCAGAAATTATGTAATCACAACCAATAGAAAACACGTGTAACACCACAACCAGAAACACTTTACATCTAGCAAAAATGAAACCCAACACCCGAAACACTTCAAATCCCGTAATTAAATAGCCCGTATGTAGCCTTTACTTTGCTGGGGACCGCGCATCGTGCAAATTTGCTCCGCCATGGCAACCGCAGCCATCCAGGCAGTGGATCGAGCGCAGAGGCCCAGTGCCTTGGGGGCTCCGCGAAGCGAGGAGTTGCTATTTAAAGCCTTTGAAAAAGATTAATAGGTAAGATCCTCTTAAGCCCAATAAGAGCAAATATAACTTGTCCCAAAGCTCTACCTAGAAAGGTATCCAAAGAGAGGTTGTGAAGTTTAAGTTGTGCGGCTTAAGAATACTATACTGCTTAGAGCTTTACGGTTTGAGAACCGAGGCATTGCTACGGCCTTAGGGTTTTACAGTTCATAGGGGCTTCAGGGTTTTGCAATTTAAAAGGGGTGATGCCTTCAGAGTTCTATGCAGGAGGAGCAGGCGCAGGAGCAGGAGCCAGAGCAGCAGCAGCAGCAGCCGTAGCAGTGGTGGTAGTGATAGTAGTAGTAGTAGTAGTAGTAGTAGTAGTAGTAGTAGTAGTAGTAGTAGTAGTAGTAGTAGTAGTAGTAGTAGTAGTAGTAGTAGTAGTAGTAGTGGTAGTAGTAGTGGTAGTAGTGGCAGCAGTAGTAGTAGTAGCAGTAGCAGTAGCAGTAGCAGTAGCAGTAGCAGTAGCAGTAGCAGTAGCAGTAGCAGTAGCAGTAGCAGTAGCAGTAGCAGTAGCAGTAGGAGTAGGAGTAGTAGCAGTAGAGTAGCAGTAGCAGTAGGAGTAGGAGTAGGCGTAGGAGTAGGAGTAAGGAGTAGGAGTAGGAGGAGTAGGAGTAGGAGTAGGAGTAGGAGTAGGAGTAGGAGTAGTAGTAGTAGTAGTAGTAGTAGTAGTAGTAGTAGTAGTAGTAGTAGTAGTAGTAGTAGTGGTAGTAGTGGTAGTAGTAGTAGTAGTAGTAGTAATTGTAAAAGCAACAGCAACCAGAAGACGAGTCAACGAAGAAAGGTGACCACAAGGTTCAGGGAGGAAGGACAGTGCAGCTCTCGCAGTAACCGTACCACTACAAGGGTTTCAAAATCTTCTACTTACTGATTGCAATCACTCGCATCAATAAACACAATCATCCCCAACAACAAAAGTCAGACCATCACCACTAACAAGACCGGCAACCCTGACAAAAACAAAACTACCAACACCAACACATCCACCTCATCCACCTCATCCACCTCATCCACCTCATCCACCTCATCCACCTCATCCACCTCATCCACCACCACCACCACCACCACCACGACCACCACCACCACCACGACCACCACGACCACCACGACCACCACCACCACCACCACCACCACGACCACCACCACCACCACCACCACCACCACCACCACCACCACCACCACCACCACCACCACCACCACCACCACCACCACCACCACCACCCACCACCACCACCACCACCACCACCACCACCACCACCACCACCACCACCACCACCACCACCACCACCACCACCACCACCACCACGGCCACCACCACCACCACCACCACCACGGCCACCACCACCACCACGGCCACCACCACCACCACGGCCATCACCACCACGGCCATCACCACCACCACCACCACCACCACCACCACCACACCACCACCACCACGGCCACCACGGCCACCACGGCCACCACGGCCACCACGGCCACCACGGCCACCACGGCCACCACGGCCGCCACGGCCACCACGGCCACCACGGCCACCACGGCCACCACGGCCACCACGGCCACCACGGCCACCACGGCCACCACGGCCACCACGGCCACCGCGGCCACCGCGGCCACCGCGGCACCACGCCACCACGGCCACCACTGCCACCACGGCACGGCCACCACGGCACAGGCCACCCGGTCCACCACTGCCACCACGGCCACCAACTCCACCACGGCCACCACGGCCGACCACGGCCACCACTGCCACCACGCCACACACACCCACACGGCCACCGCGGCCTACCGCGGCACCACGGCCACCAACCACTGCCACCACGGCCACCACCCACCAACCACCACGGCCACCACCACCACCCACCACGGCCACCACCACGGCCACCACGGCCACCACCGGCCACCACGGCCACCCACACCCACCGCGGCCCCACCACCACCCCTGCCCCACCACCACCACGCGCCACCCCGGCCCCGCGGCCACCGCGGCCCCGCGGCCACCACGGCCACCGCGGCCACCGCGGCCACCGCGGCCACCACGGCCACCGCAACCACCACACCACCACCACCACCACCACCCACCCCCACCACCACCACCACCACCACCACCACCACCACCACCACCACCACCACCACCACCACCACCACCACCACCACCACCACCACCACCACCACCACCCCACCACCACCACCACCACCACCACCACCACCACCACCACCACCACCACCACCACCACCACCACCACCACCCACACCACCACCAACACCACCACCACCACCACCACCCCACCACCACCACCACACCACCACACCACCACCACCCCACCACCACCACCACCACCCCACCACCACCACACCACCCACACCACACCACCACCACCACCACCACCACCACCACCACCACCACCACCAACCCCACCCGCCACCCGCCGCCACCCCGCCGCCACCGCCGCCGCCCCCCGCCGCCGCGCCGCCGCACCCGCCGCCGCAACCGCCGCCGCAACCCCCACCGCCAACGCACCGCCACCCGCCACCGCCACCACCACCACCAACCCCCGCCGCCACCACCACCACCACCACCACCACCACCACCACCACCACCACCACCACCACCACCACCACCACCACCACCACCACCACCACCACCACCACCACCACACCACCACCACCACCACCACCACCACCACCACCACCACCACCACCACCACCACCACCACCACCACCACCGCCATCACCAGAACCACCACCACCAGAACCACCAGAACCACCACCAGCGCCACCACCAGCACCACCGCCACCGCCACCGCCACCGCCACCGCCACCGCCACCGCCACCGCCAGCAACAGCAGCAGAAGCAGCAGCAGCAGCAGCAGCAGCAGCAACAGCAACAGCAACAGCAACAACTGCAGACACACACACACACACAAGCAACAAAACCACCACCAGTCCGAACATCAAAACCAAAAGCAACCACAACCACCCACAACCATAACCACAACAGCACCAACACCAAGACAAACACCATCGCCGACACCAGCAGCAACAGCAACAGCAACAACAGCAACAACAGCAACAACAGCAACAACAGCAACGGAAGCAGCAACGGAAGCAGCAGCAGCAGCAGCAGCAGCAGCAGCAGCAGCAGCAGCAGCAGCAGCAGCAGCAGCAGCAGCAGCAGCAGCAGCAGCAGCAGTGCAAAAGCAACAGCAAACCACAGCAACAGCAACAGCAACAACCACAACAATAACCAACAACAGCAACCACCACCGACAACGACAGCCAACAGCAACGACAACAATAACAACAACAGCAGCAACACCAAAACACACCACCACCACCACCACCACCACCACCACCACCACCACCACCACCACCAACACCACCGCCGCCGCCGCCACCACTACCACCACCACCACCACCATCACCACCCAATTCACTACAACCACCAACACCAAACATACCACAACAACAACAAGACAAACACCATCATGCCACACCAGCAGCAACAGCAACAGCAACCGCAACCGCAACCGCAACAGCAACAGCAACAGCAACTCCGCAACAGCAACACAAGCAGCACCTACATACACCAAAAACACCAGCACCAGATAGCACCAGACTAGCACCAACACCCGCAACCACAACCACGACGACAACAACAATGCCGAAACCACCACCACCAACAACAACAACAATGATGACTTCCACAATAGGAAGAAAACAAAATAATAATACCTTGCTCGGTGTCAAACGAGTCACGGCGTTGAGCACAATGGTGTTTGGGCGCAGACGGGCGGCCTTCCCAATGCAGAGACTCTTCTTCGGTGTTTGTACGGCGGAAAGCTCCCGGCAGATTCCCACGCGCTTCCTGTTGTTGAGAATTGAAAAATTCGGCTTTGTTGTGGCTTTTAGTATCGCATGTTTAGAGTCATGATGCGTCCAAACTTGCACAAGCATTTTCGCGTCCTCACGCGCGGAGTTGCTCCCTTGAAGGCGACCGCGACTGCAACGCTCGTAAACCGCATATACCCGAAACATTCCTAGACTCTGGCCTCTACTTTGCCGCTGCAGTCTGAGTGAAAAATGGTGCCCCCTGGCTTCTTGCCGGTTGACAAGTGAAAAAAGGTGACAAACTCTAAGAGCAACATGTCTAACGATTTGGCTCTTGAACTGCGGCAACACCAACATGTGTGCGGCAGATCATTCAGATAAAGGCTTATAAGGTGTACGCCCCGACATGCTCTGGCCCTGCCGGCGTACTGTGCTGCAGGGCGTTGCGGCTGCCCATGCAGATGTGCAGGCATAAAAATGGGTGGTTCTCACTTCTAACATGAAGAGACAGATCTTGAGGCCTCCTGGCTATGCGATCCATGTGAAGCTACCCTTGTCCCGCCTCAGCTTTGACATGTCAACGCCTTCAGTAGACTTGCTTCTGTGCCACTGGCTAGATTTTACAGATCAGGTTCAGCTTGCCAGTTGCGCATAAGCCCTCAATGCTAATCCTAATTAAACCCTAAACCCGGTTGGCAAGTTCAAGTAGGCACCAGTGCTGCATTCTAGCGGAACTCTGAGCTCGGGACAGGGTCTGCGCTTCAAGTGTCATGACAACCTTTAGGGGTTAGGGGCTAGGGGTAGACTTAGCAAAAGAAGGAGCTGCGATATAGAATCATGCAAAGTAGGATGCCTATGTCTCATTCCACTGAGAAGAATAGCTGGTCACACATAGACACACATGAATATATAAATGAATCAAGAGCTAGAAAGAAAAACACACATATCCGCATATATATATATATATACACACATAGATAGGTATTCATGGAATATACACAATCACTCTACTCCCGTGCCGCCGCTGTCCGGCAAAGACGGGTACAATACAACCTCGTCAACGTCTTCTCGGTTGCAGGAGGGTTAGCACAAAGAGTCGTCCGGGGTATTGAGCCTTACAGCGTCGGCTGTCTGCCACAGTTCATCCAGAATCGGTTCTGGCAATGCAAACGCATATGAGGCGGAACTGGGAGTACTTCTGCATCGAAAAAGTCATAATTCCCAGCAAATTGTATCGAACGGAGCATTGCCTTTCTGTGCTGTGTCAGGTCATGGGGCTGGGCAACACCACTCGCAAGGCAATGTCCGAATGCAGCCACAGTTTTGAGGTGGGTGCATGAACATGGTGAGCTGGACATCGGCTTCCCGAACACCCAGAGAGCCCAATACCCCTTAATTGCGGAATATAGCTTAAATAACAATATTAATCCCCATATACTTTAAGGTAGATTCCTTAATTAAGGGGTACAGTTAAAGCCAGAAAGTTGGAACATCATTGCCCCCATGCCCTTAAGGCAAAGTAGAGGGAATCGCAGTACTCTTCTTCCTAAACCTATGTTCCAACTTTCTGGGGTTCACTATATTGGGCTCTCTGAACAGATACCTCCATGCACTGACTCCATCGAATTAATCTGGAGACGATTTGAGGCTCTCCGGCGAAGACTTCCAAAGCCGTGCGCAACAAAGGGCTAACGGTTTATGGTTTAGGGTTCAGGGATTAGGGGTACAAGACAACCTCGGGGAGAAGGCTTCAATGTCTTCTCGGTAGCAGGCAGAGACAGTCGCACATGCAAAACACTTACAAGAAAAGTACCTTGAATAGAGCGCCCAGTTTTAGTACAGTAACACTGAAAGACATTGCTCTTGCTACTACTAGTGATCGGAGCCTGACCATGTTCAGAAGCATTACAGCAATAGCATTGTGCATGACATCATCGCCTGCATTTGTCGCGCCGAATCCCGTCTCCGGCTGCATCCCCGAAGTCGCAAAAGTGCGAACTCAAACGACTAATACAGGGATCTTAATTATTAGAACAGATATTTATACTCTAATTTTCATAATAAGGAACCCAGAAATAGCATTGGTAAGTGTTCCGGCCCCTATATTAGATGTGCGCCGCAATCTGTTGGTAGGAAGTTGGGTACTGCCCCCACACAGTAACAGTCGACAACTAGGGCCACTATTCAGGCCTAATAGACCCACATTGTAAAGATTATTCAAGTGTTACTGGGTGGGGGGCAGTACCCAAGCTAAAGTCACTACTTGGACTTTGAAGTAAACAGGGAGTAAAAAGTTATAGACTTGTATTTCATAATGGTTCCGTTAAGGAACAAGACAACAACAAAAAGCAAAGCATGGCACTTCAGAGCCTAGCTAAGTCTTGGGAAGTCGGGACTTTTTGTTGGCATTCCCTTTGCGGCCGATGCCTTTGCCTTACCTGAGGACCTGTTGAGATCCCTGTCTGGTGACGATTCCAAACAGGAGCGATTTCCGAGTTGGTTCATGCCATGGGAGTTTCCGAAAATTGGGGGTGCCTCATTTTGGGGTCTTTATAATAAGGATCCGACCATTTAGGGTACTATATTAGGGTCCCCTATTTTCGGGCACTCCCATATGTCGGCGGCTGGCTGTGGACTCGCGCCTCCGCGCGGTGCCAGCGGGCTCAGCTTCGCGCTGAGTGCCAAAGCTTGTCCAGAAGATCAAGAAATCATGAGGATCCCAAAGAAGAGCTAATTAAGAGTATCGAGCCCACTGGGGCGAAACAAAACATCAGAAAAGACCCTGAGGGGCAAAAAAGCGAAAAAGACAGAAAAAACCTAATTAGTTTCAAGATCCAGCGCCAGGGACGGCTGCATGGACAGAAGAATGCAAGTCTTGGGAAGATGATGGTTCTTCTCATGTTCCTGTGCACTCGTGCGCATGCGTATGAGTACACTTATGATGGTGAGACGTGCATGCATGCGTGTGAATACACATGTGTGACATGTACCGGCCCTTCCGGGGCCCCCTGTAGCAGCAAGTCTTTCGACCGCGCGCCATGGCTTACCCTGGTCGCGAACGCCACGGTGACTGAAGGCTTGGAGGGTGACTGCGGGCTGGATGGGACGAGCTCGTGTCTGGACACCTCCGAGGAATCTGGTCGCTTTTTAGCTTTGCCTTTTGTGTTTAAGTGTCAAAGGCAAGTAGTTGCAAGGGCTGTATGCCTTTACCTGTTAATGACGCAGAACCGAGTGCTTAACTCGGTGGGTACGACTGAGCTGTTCAGCTTCTTTTGGTCTGCCCTCGTTTCTACAAAACAGTTTGTTCCAACACTTACTTTCTCGAACAACTGCCTACTGCTCGCATGCGCCTTAGCTGGCATGGGGGAGGGCTTTTGCCTCCTTCTTTCCCGCTGGTTGCACCACCGCTTTGGCAGACGCCTTGTGCGACTCACAGGCAACAGCGCACGGGCCTTAGACAGTGACACGTCGAGTCCTGCTGCTGACGCCTCAGTTTGCTCTGCTCGGCGCTCAAGCAAACGCCGGCGCCGTAAGCGCCGACGCACAGTTTTACAGCAAGTACTTCAGGACTTAGCCCACGCCTTTGTGTGCGCAGTACCAGCGCGACCAGCCCGCAGAGCGGGCGGGGCCCGCACTTCAGGTGTTCGTGGTGCCACAGGACTTGGTGGCAGTTGGCGGTTAACTCCGCTCCACAGCTGCTCGCGGCACCATGCCTCAGTTCGGCTTAGAGTCAGAAGTCGTCTGTTGTTGCCGCTTGTTAAAGCTTCCAGCTACAGCAAGCCAGGGCCCCAGGACTCGGAGGCCTCTAGTCGGGAGGATGAAGAGGTAGGAGTCCGAGCGGAAGACTGGCATGCCTACATGCTGGGAGTTGCACAACTGAACAAGGCAATGTGCGGAGGCGGGGGCTCCCGCCGTAGAAACCAACAGAGGCAAGAGCAGGGTAGCGTGGCTCATGCTATGCCTCTTGATGATGGTGCCGATGACGGTCAGGATGCTCTTGCGTCTGCTCTTAACGAGTTCCTGACCACGTGGTGTAAGAACAAGCCAGCTGCCAAGCCTCAGCATTCTCTTGCTCACCAGCTCAAGGATCTCCTACAGCCTTTGATCCAGCAACGAGCCTCTGATGAGCAGGTCGCACAGAAAGTTAAGGCACTCCTTACGGCGAACCAGAAAGCTAGGCGGTTGCGGCACACCCACGAGGCTGTCAGGCCCAGTACTCAGGCTCAAACCGGCTCCGGGCAACTCAACCAGCCCAGTAGGCGTGTTGAGTTTGCCGTTCCCGCTAGCGCTCTGCCCGCCCGCTCCTGGACCCCCACTACTACCAAGGCCTCGGGAGCGGACCGTTGTAAGGAACGAGACCTGCCTGACGGCAGCAGGACTAACAAGCCGACGCAGGAAGCAGGACTCAAGAAGTCCATTACTGCGGTTGTGCCCTCGGAGTGGACTGCTGTGGTCAAGCTTACCACGGTAGCTGGAGTCAGAAAAGCTCTGGCCTCAGGTAGTGACTTGCCTGGGAACCTGGTCGTAGTCTCTGGAGTTGAACAGTACCTTGAGCTCAGAGACCAGTTTGCGGCTGTTGCTTGCTACTCTCCGCTCGCCGTCATCATAGATGACCCGGTGCGGCACCAAGCACCAGGACTGTCAGAGGTCAAAGTGTCAGTCAAGAGGGGCTCCGCGGCCCTTAAGACTGAGACCTTGATGCTTGCATGCATCCCCGATGGCGCGGCGGCCCCTCGGGTCAAGCCGGCAGTGCGTATCGATGTGGCTAAGTACCAGCCGGCTGCCAAGGTCACAGTGCGAGTCTCTGCACCTTCGCACTACAGACAACTCTTCCGTGACCGTTGGGACACTGCGCAGACAGTAGTCACCGAAGTCGCTCAGTGGCAGGACGGGCCGGTTTCAGCTCTTCTAGGTGGACAGTGGAACTGGGTCACCACAAAGGGCACACACCATTTGGTCGCTCACCT